CTTCTATCTCAGTCTTTATTTTCCAGATTGGGCAACATCCAGCACCAAACCAGCTAAATAATTTGGATGTGGATGTCAATATGAACAGATTTAGGAATCTGGATAATACAGTCATAACAGATAATGGAAATATTTTCTTATTTTGTTTAGGTCACTACATATATAGTTATATTTCCATCTACAACAAAGAAATGTCTTCATAAACAAAAGGATACATGTCTTTCCCCAACTTTGAACATAGGTACTGGTATGTATTTAAGTGTAACCTGATGCTTATTGTAGGAAATATGTTTTACCTAATTGGCAGTGGCAACCACATATACTGAGGGAAAAAGGATATTTTACTGTGTACTTTGTATCACTGCTGACAGGAGCAGTATCTCTCATTAAGGAAAAGGAGAATTTACCACTTGAAAGTCAGGCCTCAAAAACAAAATAAAATCCTTTTTCCATATTTAGGATAGGATTCATCTCACTTCACTGTAGATGTTGGTAGTATAGACACATACAGCAGGATCTGCCACCTCAGGCTCCCTTTACAGTCAATATAGGGAATAGGCACTTTTAGGCCATGATTCATCTGACCTATTTACATGTCTACTGTAGGAGGAGATGAATCACTGCCTAGACTAGATCTCTGCGGAGGATAAAGGGAGCCTAGCATGGGCAGTTCAGATATAGATGCTTACACAGTTCTAATGTTTGAATTTAGACTTGCTGTTTGAAATAACATTTTTTTTTCAGAGAAAAGCTCAATTTTCTTAGCTACATTTTCTTAGCAAAATATGTATGTGTGTACATACATATATATATATATAGCCTGCAACAGAAACATTTGCAACAATATCTTTTGAAAACTAACCCTATACCCCCTCTCCAAATGTTCTGCCATCTGAAGATCTGCCATTTTCTCTCTCTATGCCCCTCTTTCACACATACAGACATGTGTACACATACCATGTTTCAGAGAGAGGCCTTCTGAATTTTCAGCATTAACACAAGTAGATGCTTCTCTGCATATGAGAGCCAGAGCTGTTACACAGGGACAGATACATTAGCCACTTTGGGATTTGTTTTTTTAAAAAAGCCAAAGCAAAATATGCAAACAAAAGCACTAAATGAACATATCCAAAATTTCCTCAGTTAAAAATATACCATTTTTAATCGTATTTTCTACTGGAGTCTCCTCTGTTCTGCCTATAACCCCAGTGAAGCAGTACATCATAAGAAGAGCAAAATGATATTCTGGGATACAAGTAGTGATGTGGACAGAGGGGTGGAGATACTAGACACTCTAAGAAAGGGTGTAAGTTCTTGAGTGCAGCTCTAAGATAAGGAAGTCTATGAATAGCATGTATAGAAGATCAGAGCTGAAAGAGACTGGTTTATGGGGAACTGAGGGATGATGTCCCTGCAAGTGCTCTTGTGCATATTCTATAGTATAATAACCCAGTGAGTCTGAACACCCATCTAATGTCTGTAAATTGTATTAGGGTATATTTTTAAAGCAAAAACAAAAAAAACCCTCTTCCCATTCCACAGCATTACAGTGTCCAGCAGTAGTTGGTAAAGCTAAAAACATTGTCAGAAAAATATGTTTCCTTCCCAATGCTTAGCACAGAGCAGAGCAACCCATTCATATGAGCACATCATTCATGACAATGATCAGTTTGCTTGTGACAGACCATGGCATGCCATCCTCTTTGAAATCTTATTGACCCTTGTGGGTTTGGAGTTCTTTTTTTCCCAAAAAACTCTTGGCCATCAGGAGAGAAATTGGAACAAAGCGACAGTAGCCAACTCTGGATTAACTCTGGATACCTCTTTACAGAGCAGGCTTTCCAGACATTGTAGGGCTTTTCTGTAGGGATTAGAAAGAATTGCTGTCCCTTATCCAAAGTCTATCAGAGTCACTGAAAAGAACATCTGTAGTTGCAAAAGTCTTTGGCAAAGACCATGAACATTTGAAGGCTGTTTCTGAGAAACGGTGATGAACTTTTGTTTCCCACAGTGTGCAGTACAGTAGCAGCATCACAAGTAAAGAGAACTTTTTTACCACTCATTCCAGTGCATCATTAATTAAATATAAGGCATTACTGAAAAAACAGAGCTTCATGTTCTCCGCTGCCCCGACAGCAGTGGTTTTGAACCATGGAAGTTAAATTAAGGCCAGTGCAGACTAATAGACAAGTGAGAGCAAATACTAAGAAGTCAAGGTAACAAGAAAATACCTGCCATCTGGAGCTGTCGTAAGCATGAATTTACATCAGTCTCCACAAAATAAATAAATCATATCCTATGGAATGTTACTTTCTGTGGTCCCCCTCCCTTCTGAGTCACTTTCAGCTTCTGCTGAAAGCTCTGGAAAGATCTCAATGGGCACAAGGAGACATCCCTGGCTGTTAAGGCACAAGGGCTGGGATGGGGTTGTTCAGCTGCATCCATTTGCTCTCTTTCTCTAAGTTTTCCTCCCAGGTCTGACAGCACCACTGCCTCTTGGGGAAGCACATGACTTCCTCAGGAGACTGCATTTCTTACTTGTGTTGCAGGCCTCCAGCAGGCATGGCACTGAGGCAATATTTACATCAGTTTTTGTAACATCCTCACAGCAGCTGCAATTTTGGGAACTAAAAGACTGGATGGAAATATAGAGAGAGCCATAAACAAACCACAGCACATAAAAATCAAAGAGTGAAAAAAAGAATCAGCAACCAACCTCCTCCCACAGAGAGCTCTTCATATTCCTCGGTGTCAGAAGTATCGCTTGCCCTCCAGATGGTTGTCGCAAGGCCCATCTGTGTAAAAGCAACTCAGTGGAAATCGCAATTCAGGATGAAATTCAGAATGAGCAGTAGGACTAGCTCTCTTCTTGAAGGATGTTTGCACACCTGGAGGAGCACTGTACAAGAAGTGCAGTACAGTGGCTAGAATGGCTTCCTATACTATGTACATTGGAATATTGTGAGGGAGTGAGGAGTATACTTGAGCCCTTTGGCTATGACGCCACTTGTACTATGCTGTACTTGTGGAGAGAGCTAGGCAGCTCCAAAACCACTTCAGCCTGGTGCTGTGCCTAGATCATTACCCCTATCATCAAGCTAATTATTTTGGCTACAATGCAGTGCTGATGCTGCTTTCAAGACCCCAGCTAGCATCTCTTGCTTTGCTCAGCTTTGGCTTGCTCTTCCTGCTCTACTGTGCAGGCTTACTGGCTTGTGTGGAAGCTACCTTACTGTGGTTGTGGCCTTTATTAGGAAAATCCCAGAAAGCTGAGATGAGAATTCCTTTTTATTTATTTTTCCCACATGATTTACCATTACAGGATTGTAGACAGATTCACTCCTGTGCTGCCTTGCCTTGATTTCAAAGGTGTAAGTAAGTCAGAAGAGTTTTGAAACCTTGATGCTGTTATTGGCCTGGAAGCTATAGCTAACTGAAAGAGCATCAGCTCTGTGAAGTCCCACATCTTGTCTTCTCACTCCTTCGCCCATCATGCAACTGAGAAACCATGCAAATGATCATGGATATTCCCATATCTTTCGGAGGGTGTCCCCTGCCTGGTTTGTCTATACAGTTTTTTCTGATAGAGTGTCAAGGAACTTATTTTCCAGTTCTTTTAAAGTTTACTGAAATTGGAAAAAATTGGTATGGCAGAGGGATGAGACATGACACTAAGTCACTTTCTGACATTATTTTGAAGGTGGATGAGAAAAGGGAAGTTCCTCAGGTCTACAGTACTATGTCAGTACTACTCTCTTAGGTCCTTCCCACAGACTGTCCAGCAGACCTCAAGTTGAGGGGCTACATCTACACTGCCAATCTTTCATGTATCCCCAGAACAGAGGACTTCAGGTGTGCCATTCATCCCAGAGCCACTTACGGCACTGCAAAAAAGACCTGTGCAGAATTTTCCACAGATCACTTGCATTCTGTGCAGTCTATGACTCCATCATGCAGCCTGGTATGGGACAAAAGGGAAGAAGGAGCACCAGGGTCTGGACCTCTCCACATTACGGCTCCATGGCCTTTTCTGAGGCTACATCTGTCTGAAAGACACATAGAACCAAAGAATCATTATGACTAGAAAAGAGCTTTAAGGTCATCGAGTCCAGTCTTAAACCCTTCAATATCATACCTGCTAAGCTATATCCAAAAGTGCCCCATCTACACATTTCTTGATCACCACCAGGGATGGTGACTCCACTATTTCCAATTCTATTCCAATGCTTGACTACTCCATGTAGAAATTCTTCCTGATGTCTAACTTGCACCTCCTCTGGCACAACCTAAGGGCATGTCCCCTTGTTCTATTTTTGGTAGTTATTTTGGAAAAGAGACTGAACCCGCATCCCTACAACCTCCTTTCAGGTAGTTGTAGAGAGCAATAAGATCTCCCCTGAGCTTCTTCTCCTCCAAACTAAATAATGCCAGTTCCCTCAGCCATTCCTCATAAGGCCTGTGCTCCAGCCCCTTCACCAGCTTCATTGCCCTTCTTTGGATGTGCTCCAGCGCCTCAATGCCCTTCTTGTAGTAAGAGGCTCAAAACTGAACACAGTATTCAAGGTGTGGCCTCACCAAGACACCATTAAAGACTGGCAACATGATGAACTATTTCTTGGATGGCAGCCCTCAGAAAATTCTCTTGGGTCTCCTAGTCTGTATGTCCTCATATTATGAGCAGCACTACTCAGTGTCATTGAAAAATAAAACTTCTGTAGCCAAGCTATCTCCTTAATCCAAGTGCTCTGAAAAATTCCTGATCACTAGGATGGTGGTAAGAGAGGCAGTGAGAGGAAGAGAGTAAATGAATGTCGCACAAGATGTGACAGCAGTGGTGACAGATCCTCTGAGGTGGTGTGGGGAGGGTTTGGCAACCCTCTTGGCACTTCCCTATTACAACAGGAGGGAGGAGAGTATATTTTGAGGTTGCTTAAAAGCCCCCATTTTTTTCCAGGGTTGTACTGTACTTAAGAAAATCTGAGAGGAGAAGGGAAAAAAAAAGACTACCTGAAAAGAAGGTACCTTTGCTAATAGAAAACTTCCTTTAAGCACTTACTACTATTAAATAATTGCTACTTTTTGTACTGCTGTTTTGGGGAGCTTTGGGAATAAACTGTATGCTCAGCCATGAATATTTTCTTAGAAGGATGGAATGGCTCTTTTGTTGCTACATGATTACACTAAAGAGATGTGAACTGATTTTTGGCTACCTCAAAGAGGTAGTCTCTGAGGTCTACCTCCAAGATTTCCCTCAGAGACAGTAGATAAGTGCTCTTCTCTTCTCCCCTTATCTTCTCATCTCGTCTTGTCTCACTTCTTTTTTCTCTTTCATCTTAATTTCTTTTCTCTCTCTTTCTCTCTCTCTCTCTCTCTGTCTACTTTCTTCTTTCTCTTCCTGTCTCTTCTTTATCACTTTCTATCCCAGTTTCCTTCTCCCAAGCTGATAGTGCTTTGGGATTACTCTTTAGGTATTGGGTGTATGCAAGCATAGACCCAAAAATATAAAATTCCAGTAATCATCCACAAACTGTCATAGGCTGTAGTATTTGGGATGACTACAGTATAACACAGAATGTCATTTTTATTGGTGGAGATAATGTATGAGGCAATTTCTGGAGATATCATTCATTATTTAGTAGACCATAATATTGATTTGAAGGGGAGTGAATAATTTCCACATTTTATCCTAGCCTATAGAAATTCTCAAATTTTGAATGCCCTGCTTCTTCCGGACAAATATTTATATGTATTAAGCTTCCTTTTCCTTCCCTCCCCTCCACCCTTCTTCTCTTATTCATGTGTTTTGACAAACACAAAATGCCTTCCAAACCTTGGGGAGCTGTATTCCATCACCAGACTGATGTTTTCTGCCTCTCAGTTTTTATTTATGTGAGTCTGAAAATGTGTAGCTCACTGGCACCCCACACTGTTTTTGGTTTCTCTCATCTTACATGTGCCATCCTGGCTCATGTTCTCTCTTTCTTTGCACTCTATTTCTTTTCATGGCATTGCAACATTTTTAACACAGGATGTCAGAAACAACAAGCATCAAAAAACAGAAGAAACCCCTTCTGAATGGGAGAAGAGCCCTTCCATCAAACAACTCCAATGCTGAAGAAAATGAAGTCCCTGAAATGGAGGTTTTTGGTTTGACACCTAGAGGGTTTAATCCAAAAGGTATAGTTTACAATTAAGACATAAGTATATTTTTACATCTTCTGTGTTCATCTCTGTCTAGATGCATGAGCTAAAAACAGAACATTTCTGGCTTATTAAAAAAAATAGCTAAACATCTGTGTTAATAGAGATACAACCTCAGATTATGAGTAGAGAAACTGAGGGTTAGGGAAGTTGAAGTGACCAGTTCTCAGCTTGAACTTTGAGAGTAATTAAAATGTAAAAGCAGATTTTCTCAAATTTATTACAGTGACAAGGTAACCTTGGGATGAATTCCTCAAGTGTTTTAAATTGAAGGTTTAAATTGAAGGTGACTGTTTCAGGGCCAGGTTGGATAAAGGCTCTGCTTTGTGCAGTTGGTAGTGTTGGTCATTGAACATCTGGGGTGAAAGAACATAGAACACAGTTTCATAACCAAAGTTGTCATAACTTGTTAGTGGCATGAGAAGAAATGGTGCTGCCACTGACCACTTTTTCCAAACTCAGTATTGGTCCCTTTCCTTATACAGCTGTAAATATCCATGGTTAAGCAGATAAGGACACTGATTAAGTAGATTTACTGGTTAAGCAGATAAGGACACTGATGTGTGTTAAAAACAGTCCAGGAAAATAGTAAAATAAAAGACTGGTTTTATTGGGTTTGATGCTAAATCAGCCTGGTTGAGGAATATCTGCAACTGGGGTGAAGAGAAGCTTCTCCTTTAACACTCTTTTTGGTACATGCAGCCTAAACTTACTGCAAAGCTACTGCAAGTGGGGCTGACAAGGAAAATTGTTGATAGCTTTGGGGCAAGTGTGTGTATTTAAATTGTTGAATATAATATAGCACCAATCCTGCCTAGATAGCATTTCAAACCCAGTCTGCTCTTAGAAGATGAAGATCTTTAAGCATGTGGGCTATTGATTTTTGAAGTGCTTCACAGCAGGTTCTGAATGAAGTATGCTGATGATGGATAGGAGTTTTCTGCTTTTTGGAAATCCTAAGGAAACTTAGGAATGTCAGATCAAGCAAGTTAAGGCAGGAGCTTGACATGTGCTTAAAATGATGCTGCTAGTGAAAAAAAAACAGCCCTTGTGCAGTGCAAGTGTTTGTGTGGCCGTAGGATAAAGCTGGTAATGTGACCAATATTACTGAAAGATAATTTTGTGTGCAGTGGCAACATCCCTATTATACTGCTGGATCAATCCTGTTTTCTAGTTCAGCTATGAAGCACTTGTGGCAAAAACATGCAAGAAATGTCATGGAGTGGAGAGAGAGTCAGGAAGGCAAGGAGAAGGGAAGGAGAAGGGGAGAGAAGGAGAAAGCAAGAGAAGACAAGGGAAACAGAAGGGAAGGGAAATGGAAGGGAAGCAGAAGGAAAGGAAAATGGAAAGAAGGGACAGGGAGAAGGAAAGGGGAAGGGGGCAGATGGGGAAGGGAAAGAGGAAAAGGGAAGGAGAGGGAAGGGGAAGGGAAACAGGGAAAGGGAAAAGGAACTACAGCAGCCTTCCCATTTCAGCGCTGATCAACTGCAATCTAAGACTGTGACATCATCTGACTTTGTGTGGTCCCTGGGTACACAGTCTTGGTTTATGATTTAAAGCCATCTGCCAAAACAGATAAAGATTTCTAGCTTGATGCTTTCTAAACACAGCTCAGACTGGGATTTTAAGTTTGGGAGCGGAGCCTGCCCATAGCACATGCGGTGTCGTGCTTGTGAGACAAAGCGAGAGTCTGCAAGTAGAGCAGGAGCATCAGGGGGTGGCAGGGCTCTAGCTCAGCGAAGCACTCCCTTGCAGGGGACTGCTTGTGCTGCTCTCCTTTCCCTTCTCCTGCATACCTCCACACTTCTCACTCGCCCAAATCTTTTGCTATGGCTCCCAGATTTCATTTTCCCAGCAACCTGAAAAAAAAAAAAAAAAAATGCTGTCAAATTCTTTCAGCTCTGCTTTTAAGCTGAGATGTTTGCTAGCTAAAAGCACCTAAGTGCAGTTGCCTGTGCTTATGTCAGATTGTAGCCAGCACAGACCCTGGCAGCAAGTGGAGGTGAGGGCACACTGTGGCTGCCTGCAGTGGACATCTCTTTGAGGATAATCTGTATGTTTCTCTCAGCCCCACTGACTGCATCACTTACACTTATAAGAGGTTATATATCAGACATGCATCATTTAGATACCTAAATTTAAAAATTTTAATCTTAGGCTGAATCCTGCCCTTGATCTGTACAGTGTAGGTGTCTACAGCTGAGCTAGTCACCCTCCTTTGCCTTGACAGCCAACAGGGAGAAACAGGCATTTTTAGGGTGTGATTCATTTGACCTATTTTAGCTACTACTCTAGGATGAGGTAAACTGTATGCTTTACTAGCTCTCTACTGACACCCACTTCTCCTCGACTGAATCACACCCAGACTGACTTGCTAAGGGCTGCTGGGCTGTCTGCTTCCCAAGCCCCTGCTTGAGGGCTGCTTGCCACTTCCCCTGCTTGCTACATGAGCTCTGTTCATATGAGGGAGAGTTTACTAAGGAGAACATGTAGCTGAGTGCTGCTTTAATGAGAAGCCTGTGTCCCTGTGATTATGCCTTCTCTGTGTCCTCCCCTGGCTTTTCCTTGTCAGAACATGTTATGGGTGGGCTTGACACCTACCATTATCCAGTGTGTGACTCTCAGCCTTGCAGCCACATGGCCCTGCAAACTACCCACTCCTTTGCAAAGCTCTCACCAAGGAACCATGTTTCTCCTCTCAAAATACAATGAGTACCTCCTTTGGAAAAAGCCACTGTTTGGTTTGTAACCTACAGCTTCTTCTCTCTGGTCATCTAAGAAAGCCTGATGTTTGAAAGCTATCCTTTCTAAAGACAAAACATCTCCAACTTGTTTTCATTAAAGTTTAAAATGATGAAAGATTTAAGAAAGCTTCAGAGTATTGCATCTCATGCAGCAAATATGCTTGCACTACATAGAAGGCCAGACTCAAGCAAACCATCAGGTGAATCTAACTTCAGAGGCAGCCCTCAATGACTAACTGTCCCTCTCAGACGCAGAGAGGCAACATTGAGTGCAGTGCCCTGAGCCTTTCCTTCAAGCATAACCCAGTGATGATGTTAGAGCATCCAACTGCCCTGCTCATGTTTTGCCCTCTGTAATTTCTATTACTGTAATTAGCACAGGGTCATTCATGGGTCATCTTTGCCTGGTACCCCCTGAGTAACTCATTTTAAAATATGTAGTGAAAGTGAGGCTTTTTTTTTTCCTGCAGCCGTGAGCGAGCTTCGTAAAACCATGACATAAAATGAAGCAAATGCAGAACTGACATGCTAGGGTAGCTCAGCTTTGACCCTTCCTTGAGTGGGCTTACTTGGAAACAAAGGACTAGGTCACTATTTTCTAATTTCACTATTGTTTCAAAACACAAGATTAAAAGGCAACAAATGGTCAGCTGAATTTTTATGCCCAGTTGGAAGGACAGAGAAGCTGTGCCTAACTTGCTCATTGCTTCACCCCTCACAAAGCCCCAAGATATGCAGCTTTTACTTGGAGTATTTTAAGAAAGGGCAGGGAAGATAACAGACGAGCCCCTACGCACATCCACTTTACAATTTTTCAGGAAACTCCTGTCTCACATCATTTAATTACGAGCTATGTCGGAATTATTTTAAGTGCACCACCTCATGCAGAGACAACATGAATGTGAATCCTGAGCAAAATGTATTTACTATTTCACACAAAAAACATCTCCCTAACTACACCCACTAGACCTAGTGGGAATCTACAGAAGTTACTCCAGAAGCCAAGAGAATTGAGCAGAGGGTAACACTAACATTGCATAGGACTTTAAGCCTCCTGTAGGGCTGAATGGGGTATTCCAGCCTCTCTGCAGTACAATTAGGTTTGCCAGGAAGCCACTGTTTTTCTGTTCCGTTCTACAGGGCTTACACCTACCATATCCACAAGCAGTTTCTTTTAGTTTGTTTCTGGCAGGACAGTGACGTGCAGCAGATAGTGGCAACACACAAGAACCTCCTCCTGCTGCCTCTTCATTAACTGTTGTCCAAGCCCAGTGCTGGCTGCCTCGGCTAGGGCAGGAGAAAGGCTGTTTTGGTGCCCAGGTGGTTGCTGCCACACAACTCTGCTGATGTCTTGCACACTTGTCCGCAGAAGGACAGGGCTAGTCTGTACACTGATACGGCCCTGAGGCTTTCTGACAGCTCTGGAGGGGATCTACTTGTCCAGAGACTGATGATGTGCAGTGTCGTCCTACCTTCACAGAAAAGCTCTGTAGGAAGCTGTTATGTGAAGTTATGTGACATGGCTTGTGTTTATCGCTAAGTGTGCTGACATCCAAATGAGAACCACTCTCACGAGTGCACAGAGTTCCATCAGCTGCTTTAAAGATGCACCTCTTCTTTTCCAGGCGTGAGTTTGGCTTTGTAATCTTTGGTATAAAATATAGAAATTTGCTGGTTTCTATACCTGGAATACCCGGAAATGCAAGCAAATCAAGTTTTACTCTTCCTGTCTCTCCCCTTATGGTGAGCAGTAATGACCCTACAGACAGAGTTTTGATGATTATCTGCCTAAACGTGTATGAGATTGACATCCAGTTTATTTTCAAATGGCTGCTAGGTGTTAGTTTCACTCTAAAGCCAGTGGCTACTACTTAAACATGCATGCAGAAGGAATGTCTGTTTGAAAAGACTCCTATCATGAAGCTTTCCAGCCCAATAGAGTCATTCAGCTAGTGGTGACTGCAAGTGCCTGTTATTTTTCATGATGCCACCCCACACCACTCATTAGAAAAGTAGACTAATGTCTAGTAGTAGTAGACAATAACCCTTTATGTAGCCTGCCTTTGAAGGATGAGACATGTACTTTAGCCCTGCGTGTTATGGATATTTACTGCTGTTTGTGTGTAACTGTATACTGTGCTTGCATATGTAATGTTATATTTAGTATTTAGGAAAGAGGCTAATAGAAGTGGAGGTGTGCTGAGAAGCTGTGTATAGACACACAGTAGACCAAAGTCTTATTTAATACTATTCATGTTGTCAGCTGAGTGCAAGATCATTAATCGACTCCAAGGCTTTTCAGCATTTGGTAGTAGCTGCGCTTTTAAAAAGTTTATGTATTTAGCACCACAAAACCCCTATGAATTTGCATTTTACAAGTAGAGAACTGCAGGAAGAGAAACATGAAGCTGCACCTGTCAAACATCCACTGATTTTATTGACAAACTTGTGACAGCAAGGCCCAGACTTATAGAAAACTGATGACAAAGGAAAGACAGAGCACATCTTTCCTAGGGAATATTCAGCATTTTAGCTGTAGGTCCCTGCCCCTTTGGCAATTGCTTACATCTTTCACTACATGCCTTGTAGGTTCCGATACAATGGCAGGTGAACAGCGAATTTAAAGTCCATTAATCCCTGCCTAGCCAGGAAGATATAAGTCCCTGGATCTGTTGATCCAAAAGGATTCAAAATGGTGCTTTTCTTTATGACGTAGTGCTGGGGAGGGGGAGAATTGGGCCTCTAATGACTGGTTAATCAATGCAGATATTCCAATATAATAACTTTTCCTCTCTGTGTGCCTCCATAGATTACCTGCACGTTGTGGATATCCATGTGTTCAAGGAACCCTATGAGATTAACAAACAACAGCACCACACTGACAAGTATTACAGCCCTAAGCTGATAGTCCGTCGAGGACAGCCTTTCCAAATCCAGATTGATTTCAACCGACCCTACAAGCCAGACACTGACCAATTCTGGCTGGAGTATTTGATAGGTAAGTGCCTGACCAAGGCTCTCCTGCATCAGGAGAGTAAATTTTAAGAATGTCTCATAAACAGGAAAACATTAGTACTTAGTGGCTGCATCTTTTCCTGTTATGATTGATAATCCATAAAAACATGCTTAAATAGAGTCAAAGAAGTAATTTTCTAAATATGGTCTGAATCTTTATTCAAGAGATTCAACAGAGTTACTTGTGAGAGATGAAGAACCAGTACTGAAACTTTCTATTTAGAAAGAAGCTGGACCTTGTTGGGCTGCCAAAATTCTCTCTCTCAATGCTGAATGACAATATGAAAAGTAGGTGGAATGAGAGACACCTCATCATTAGTGTTTAGGAGATGTAGGGAAGAGGAGTCTTGTTTGAGGTAGGATAACTGTGTATGAAATGGGAAAACTAAACTTTGTATACACTAGGGGAAAAATCACACCAAGTGCAAGAATACAAGCCCTTGCAACTTTGCAGCCTGCATTTAAAACCAACCTGGTAACAAGGGAAAAGATTCAGAGATTGTAGCTTTGGACTAGAAATGTACTTAGGGTGATGTCAGAGAATTTCCTAAATTACTGCAGAGAGCGCAAGAAAGCCTTTTCCATCTCACTGAGAAATCTTCATCAGAGACCCACATATTAATGTACCTAGTAGCTTATTTAATGTATAAGGACAGATATAGAGAAAAACATGACTTTACTAGAGAAGGAGAAAAGAAAAAGCTCAAGTCTCTCATAAAAGCCTGTTGCTTCCTGTTGTTTTTCAAAGGCAGCACCAGCAAACATTGCTCCACATATCACATTTCTTAGTTTTATCTGGAGTGATCTCAGAGTCCCTGTGTTAAGATATCAGTGTTCCTGTTATAAACTCTTTAGAATAGGCTTGAATTGATGTTTTAATTTACCTTCCTGAGAGATGCAGTACTTTTAACATTGATTTTTTCCACTGTTGAATTATGATAATATGGCCATTTCTTAGATTAGTTGCCTTTTAATGCTAAATGCGTGTTTATCTCTTAAACATATATGCAGTGAAAAGGTTACTGTCTGGATGTTTTCTTCACAGGTCTCTTCTTTCTAATTTAAATTAAGGTTGGGAGGCATGTTTTGATAGTCCGATGAATGACTGGCTGAACAGGCACAAGAGCCTTTAAAAATTTAATATGCATAGATACCATTAGTTCTTTTGGGATTTAATTAAATTCAAGATTGTTCCCTTAATCTTTATATGTTTAAAACAGCTGTAGTAAGAAATGGAAAATGAAACATTTGATTTTTATTGCATTGTGGGATGTTTGCCTTTGTTTTCATCATATACTTTGTATGGGAGAAAGAAATTTAACACTTCTTTTGACATTGCCCAGTCTGCTTAGACCATAAATACTTTTATTCTCTTGTTGCTCTTTCCTAACACACTTCATGTCCACCTCTTTGAATCCCTAGGAATAGATAAAAATCCCTTCACCCTCAGCCACAGTAGGAATGAGGTTAAACTCAGCCTAAGCCAGGGGAGGTTTTCCAACAAACTCAGGTCTGAGTGCTAATTTTGTAGTCAGCCTCAAGACTATGGTAGACTTCTCTTCCCCTCCCTGTTCTTCACTGTTACTCTCAGTGAAATAGGAACATTAATGCTGAAGTCTTATGTGGGGAGCTTGGGAATCAACTGATGGAAAGTTCTACATACCTAGCACTTAATCCTATATACCTAGACTGCTTAATCCCTCTTATTGATAATGAATCAAGGATACCTAAGGATACCCTGAAAAATGCTTCTTGTGGCAAATGTGTCATATGAAATTTGGTCTCAGACACTCATGAAATATGTTTAGTTAATATCTGTTTTTTTTAAAGTACAGTCCATTTAAATACCTTTCATATGTAGCAGAATTCATGAAATATTTTTTATTACCTTGGAATTCACTTTTACAGATATTGTAAAAGTGCCTTTTTACTAAAATCCCTTTTGCTTCAATGGACTCTTCTGTGAATTAATTATCAACGAAACAGTCTGAAATGCTAACATATAAATTATTATAATTAAGTTTTGCATATAATATTTCATTAAATTAGAACTGTTCTTGTCTGCTGAGGTATGAAAAGCAATGAATGTATCAAAAGTCCACATGGAAAAATATTAATCATAAGGAATAATGGGATATTTCTCCAGTTCTTGTGCTGGACTGTAGTCCTGCCTCAGTACTTTTCGCATGGGAGATGTGTCATCACCACATGTTTCTTTTCTCCCAACATACTTCTTGAGTTTAGTGAGAGGAAAAGTGAACATTACCTCTTGGGACATTCTTGTTTCTATTGTTCTGAGGATGATATGAAAAATTCCCAAGAGAAATATAGATGATATTCTTCTTATATTCAGTTCCAATAGCCAATAGTTGAACAACCGCACTTTTAGGGGAGCTCCTGGGAGCCTGGATGAATCAGTGAATCCTTCAGCTGTCTTGATCTCTCTTGACCACTACAGGTCAATATGGGGCAAGATTTCCTAGGGCCTTCTAGTAAAGAGGATATTTTGTGTGGCTTTTCATTTTTTAGAGGTTGGGACTCTGTGGGAAACTTCTTGTGTGATTCTCTCATCTGACATCTAGTTGGCATGAGTTTCACCAGGTTTCCTCAATCAATGCTCTACTAGTAGGGTTTTATCTAGAAATGCGTATGTATGATTAGATGGGTTTATGTAGCCTTCCATCATGTTTTAACCATAGTATCCTGTACAAGGCAGTAAATCCTACAGCAATTGATGAGTTTCCATGATGCATCCTTATTCTAATGATATATTTTCACACACCCTCATAAATTGTTCTTTATTGGTACTTTGCTTAAATGGCCTCATAAATCTATATATATTGGTCTAGCTCTAAATATTATTATAAACCTTGTATTCACTGGCATACTTTTGTAATGATCATAAATCCCCATGCTATCACCTTTCCACATGTGTGCATGCATGCACACCCACGTGTCCACCCGTATATACTCCCCAGAGCTCAATAAATTATAGGTTTTGGCCTGAGATGAGAGCAGAAACTTAGTGCTCTTTTTTTGAGATCTTCCCAGGACTGGTCCAGAGGAACAGCTATGAAATTACACATTTGAATATATAAGAAAGTAGCTAGGAGTAGAGAGGTGTTAAACCTGGTCCCACATGGCTTATTAAGAGGACTCCTAATTCCCCGCTAAAATCAGATGGGCCATTTCAGTAAAGCTAAAGAAACAGCAGTCTGATGCACTACCTCTCAGAAACAGTGGTACTTTTTGTGCCACCCGACAGTGCCCATGGCCTTTCCTTCTAATAAAGGTAGAATTGGGACTTTAAGTCATTCGAGGAGTGGTTGGAGTGTTGCTCCTTTTGTGAGATAGTAAATCTGCCTTTGTGGGAAGTATTGCTACCCCTGCTGTCACTCTTACTCCTCAGCAACACTGGGGATAGGTGGCTAGCTAATGGAGTGGCAGGGATGTAAAGTTTTCCCCAAGCACCCTAGATGTGGTGCTGAGGCAAGTTCCACACCTTGGAGAAAGTTGATGACAGTATCTTGATTTCTTAATAGCCTTTCTAGCATTGTAGAAGGAGCAACTAACTCTGCGCAGGGGGCAAGGCCTGTTGGTGATCTATTTAACCTGAGAGTCTATTAAATCACTATTTCTCTGTTTAACAATAAACTGCAGAAACTGAACAAAGATACAGAAACACATGATGGTCTGATTATGGTGGCCATGCACACTCCTGTAGTGCCTCCATTTGCTAAAGAAGATCTCATTTGAGTGAAGAAAGAATTTTTATTAGCAGCAGAACACATTCCTTACAAGATAATCACAGATAGAGAAAAGTTGTATAACAGTTGTCAGCAAAGAAGAACAAACAACAACAAAACTCTTCACTTTCTGAATGATAGTGGGTTTTTTCTGCCCCTCTGGAATACTCAGGCAGGACCTAGAAAAGCTGAGACAGGGGTATGTTCTAAGAGGGGTATGTTCCATAAATTTGGTATTTCATGCAAAGGTAGTCCGCTTTCCTTTCATTTCTGCAGCAGCATCAAGTGATATCTTTTAATGTTTTTAATAACTAGAATGTAAGATGCCAATGTGTCTTTTACAACTGTAAAGTACTAGTAACATTCACTCCTGGGACAGTGTGGTCATATGTTAAGGATTCCTACTTGGAGCCATGAGCAAAAATCATCAGAAGATACTTGGGTTTCCTACACTTCCTTGTTTGAATACAGCTCTTATGAAGGCAAAGAAATGTGAGGGAAATCAGTTAGGAAATCAAAGCAATGGCTTAAAGTTACTACTATTTTTTATAGAAAAAAAAAATGTCCCTCGTTTGCTTTCATTTTTGGGGATTTTACAACAGTTTCCTTCCCTTCCCTTGCAGATGTTTGCTGACATTGTTCATAGTCATTAATAAGTCATAATCCCAGTGCCAGTATACTAACACCCATGCCCAGGCTGTTTGCTACAATAAGGCTTACCTCTGCTATACATCTGCTACACTGTAGCCTCCACCTTCAGCTTATTTATCAGTTTGTCACAACTATTACGTTTCTAGGGCTCGACTGGAAATGAATTCTTTACCCTGTGTGTGAAAGAATCTATCTATCTAGGTAAATAAAAATAAAAATGAACCCAACAGGAATATTATTAACCTAACTATATGTAATTCCTGTCTCAAAGTGAACCAGACGAGACTAGAGTCCTTAGATTTGCTAAAGAGATTATTGAGAAATTCATATCCCTATGTTCAATCCCCATATTCATATGAATATTGAGATATTCATATCCCTCTCTTCTGAAGTATCCTACTTTCATCAGGAAGGAAATGTTCTCTGAACAACATCTCCTGTCTCTGTTCTAGCCAATTCCCCCCTTTTCCCTGCAAAAGGGAAAAGAAAACTGATTCATGTAGGACCAATCCCAAAATACTCATGGATACCTCTACTGCCTGTCATAGCACAGCGCAGCAGCTGATTCAGCAATGGCTGAATAATACTTAATACACATACGTATATAGCAAGGGACATGACTGCTAAGAACAAGGGGGGAAAATAAACTACCTTAAGACATCAGCTTGAAGATGACTAAGTAGGGGAAAAGGAAGAATGTCATTTGAGTAAGCCTTGGTCTCCTGTTAGTAACTTGGAAAGAGCTGGCAGAGTTGCATAGGAACATCCCAGCAGCACATCATGCAACAGCTTTGTCTTTCACAGAGACATTTCTTGCGAAACATCCTCATGTCTAGTCTTACCCAAGATGGAAGGCACTCAAAGATCCTCTTCCAAGAAGGAAGGCACCTCCTACACCCAAAACACAGCTAAGCCTCAAGAAATGAGGCAAATGCATAGAGCTGACTGCAGAATGTGGTTTAGGCTGCCAAGTGCTGGAGCAAATCAGACCAGGGATCTGATGATGCCTGTTGATGATGCTGGCAGAAGAGCCCTCTTATCAGCATAAAAGGAGTTTACTTTCACTACATGACTCCCAGTCTTCAGATGCACCCAGACACACCTCCTGCCTTCACCAGAGAGCCTACAGAGAGCGCTCTGCCAGATATGGATTTTGATAATGAGTTTTTAGATAATATTGCATTTTCTTCCTCAGAAAATCAGGCAGCACTCAACATAATCGCTTTGGAAAATGGGTTGATATTAGATATCCCAACTATTAGCCAAAGTTGGCCCTACTTTTTCACTGCAGCCAGAAATGTGTGCTAACGGTATAAATGAAATTAATAAGGTCAAGCTAACTTGAAAGGACTATCCTACAATTTCAATAAACATAGTATTGAACCTACATAAGGATTCTTTTGCCAACAACATTAGTATGTAATGCCAGAGTTACTCAGTTTCTTAGTGCTTTGGTATCAAGGCAACAGATGTGTGTATATGAGGCTCGTGTGACTGGTGTTTTCAGGTGTCTAGATGTGTGATTACAAATGAGATCTACAAGCTTCTGTCAGAAGTAACTATTTCCTTGTTCTTTAATTTGCATTTTTGCTTTCATTTCAGAAGATTAAGAAACCTGTCCTGTCTTCAAATAAAATGACAGAAGTCACGGGCTGTGCTCTTGAGGTCTCTGTCTCTTGGTCTTCCCCCTGGGTTCAGGATTTATAGGACTGTTAGTTCAAGACAGGCAGAGCATCTAGAGCCCTCCTTGCCTCTTAGGAGCCAACACCATTGACTTCTATTTACTATTCAGATCATCTGCAAATTATCTTAAGTTCTAAGATATCCCTTCTCTTACATCCCTTCTGAGTCTGCCATGGAGCGATATCCCAGTCATCTGTTTAGCTTCTTCATTCAGAGCTGAGGAGTTACTCAGTACAAAGATGTCTTACAAAGATCCAATGGTCTCTTTGAGATAATATTTAGTTTCTGTAAGTAGATTTAACGGGGAATCATTCTGAAGACTGTTACTAGTTCATATCTTTAGCTTTGCACAGTCTGTTTGCATAGCTTTTCATACTTGCGCAGGCCCCCTCCAGAGCACAGCTTCTACCATCTCCAATCAATGGACTCCTACGGTGATGTGTAGCTTCCAGTGACGATGATAAAGTCAGCTCATAACCACATTAAAATATTAATCTTCCCCTCCCTCACCCCTTTCTGAGAGAGGTAAAGAGGGTATTTTAAAAGGTAGCACTTGTCAATAATTGGTGTTGGTTCAGTTGGTTCATCAAGGGTTTGGTTCAGTTACTTGGTTTGCTCTAAAAAAGAAAGAAAAAAAGAAACAAAAGCAAATATATCAAAACTAGAAATAAAATACCAACTGTAGAGGCAAGCTGGATCATAAAAAAATCCACCACAAAGCACAAGACTATGCTCAGCGCTCTGATCCCAATTGTTAGCAGACACAAGACTGTTGTCTCTGTTGCCTCTATAGGCTCTTCTCTCTAGCGTGTCCTTCCTTTGATGGCTTATTTTTGAAGTGTCCAGTGCTTTATCTTCTAGTGTTTTCTATTGATTTTGCTCTCTCATTCCAGTCCTTTTTTCTCTTCCGTAGGCCTATTCCTGCTATTGCATGCCTCAGTAATCTGAATTGGTTTCGTGAGTTACGACATCCCTGGCCTTCAGAGCAAAAAGGGCTATTTATGTTCACTGAATAATCTGTTGAATGAAGTGCAGAAGTCCTAGTAGGATTTCATAGAAACATAGGGGTCATGGCAGCCTACAACCTTCAGATTCAAAACTGTAATTGTCCTTTCCTGAAATGTAGCGATACTCTAATCAGAGATTATCTCTGCTTCAGCTGCATAAAAATAGGCAACCAGGAAAATCAATGACCTTGTACATTTAATTTTGAAATTTTTAAATAGCAGAAATGAAAAATATAGAAGTCTGTCTCTATGTCTGCCTCTGTGGTTTTTATATCCCTGTCTGTGGATGAAATAGTCTGACTTCCAGCCTAAAATATGAAATGAAGAATAGGTTTGAGAATGATGAGAGGAAGTCAGCCTTCTCACAAGTGTATATTTTGTCTACACTACTGCTTGGTTTCCAGATAGAATTTGGCTCTACCTCAGGCTGAAAAGATGGAATAGTTCTCACCTAACTATAAATCCTGGGAGTGTACATATTTACATGTATCCTATCCTTTTAGATGCTTTTTACAGTTGGCAGAGAAAAGTAAGCTTTTGTAGAGTGCTGCTGCAAGATAGAACATCATGTGTGATATTTTGTAGATGTGTTGTACTTTATGATCCATTGCTTGTAAAGAGTTGGCTATATAGCTCAGATGCACTCACTTATACTCCAGCTGCCTAGTCCGTGCTTGGGAAGAACTGAGGTTTGGGTGTCCGCTGACAGACTGGCTTGCATTTTCTCAGACACATCTCTGTAGCATAGTGTGAAAGAGAGCTTGGTCTCTGCTTGTCAGCTCAATAGCACAGTGAGAAGAGTATGACTGTCTTCTGCTAGAGAGCTCCAAAGCCCTCAGCCCTTGTCCATGCACATGTGGATGCTTACATAACAATGAGTGTGGTGGATCAATCTGAACTTGGCAAGGGGCTCTTGGCCACACTTACCAGGAGTAGGTGTAGCTCTGCACAAGGTAAGGAGAAAACTGGAGTGGAGTTTGATGGATGAATAGGGCTGAGCCGAGGAAAGCCAGAAGCAACCCACACTTGCACTGCCATGACTGCAATCCTGGCAGAGCCTACACTTTAAAGCTTGCTGGAACAAGGTGAATGTGGACTGTCTGCACAGGCTTCCCACTGAGAGTACTGTGTGCATTTTTGTGGCAGTAATGTCAAGTAACCGGGCACTATGTGAAACTTGAAGGCAGCTGGTCTCTGCCCACTCAGAGGCTGCCCACTCAACCAGCCATCTCAGAAGAAAAACAGACAAAGGAACAAAGGTCTGCCAGAAAATGAAGAGAGGGTCAAAATAAGGTGAATCTTCTCATGGATTACCCCCTTTTCTTTCCAGGTCGCTATCCACAGCAAAACAAAGGCACTTACATCCCAGTCCTAGTGGGTGATGAGCTCAAACCTGGTGAGTGGGGAGCCAAGATTACCCACAAGGAGAACAACTCCATTCGCCTGTCCATCATGTCCTCTGCCACCTGCATTATTGGAAAGTTTCGCCTATATGTTGCTATCTCATCTCCCTTTGGCATCTTCCGAACACGCAGAAATGCAGAAACTGATACTTACATACTCTTCAATCCCTGGTGCCAGCGTAAGTAATTTATGAAAGTCAAAAGTTCTCACTTTCTGCTGCAAGGCTTATTGGTTTTTGGGAGGCATGGAGTCCAGGAAGGGGAGCTTGGTACTGAAGTGGTACAAACTGAGCCAATTTTTTTCTGGAAACTAAATAGTTATATCTACCTAACTATAACTAGATATAACTATAAATAGTTATATCTAATATATATTTATATATATATAAAAAATAGCTATATCTAGTTATATATAACTATAAATAGTTATATCTACCTAAATTTGACAGGAGGCAACTTTTATTGGCCTGGGAATAGCCCTGTGGGCAGGGGTGCATTCTGCAGTCCTTTGCCTCTGCTCTAGTTACACTCCATGCTTTTATAAGTCTAAGCTTGTGCTTGCCAGTTAGGCAGTGTGGCACTGCTCCATTTCTCATAGTAAACATACCCCAAAGCTTTGCTCTGACTTTAATAGGCATCAGTTTGAGCCCTTGGCTGCCTGTATGTGCCTTAGTTAAACTAACAAATCAATGCAGCCATTTTTTTCTCTCTAGGATTCAGCATGGGGCAGCATGTGGCAGTGTCCTGTACTGACAAATTTTCTATTGAGTTACATCATTTATCACCACACTTTAGAATCAAAGAGCTGCAGCCTAAATGCCTGCAGAAACTCAGTGGAAGTTGCTGTTCTTGCACAGGCTGGATACAGTCAGTCTAGTGCTGTATGATTCGTGGTGCCTTGCTTCTCTGTGAGACTTTTCCTTTAGGGCTGACTAATTACCAGCTATCCCATTCTCTGCAAGGAACAGAACATTTTGCAAATGTGCCTTTTTTATAATCTATTAGGTTAAAAAATAAAAAAAGTTTTTAATTTTCCCAGATCCCTGGTAAAATCAGGCCTATGCTGACAGAAATCTGTTCTACTTAATTAATTCAACATGTAGCTTTAAAAAGACAAGGATGAGTGGTGAGGTTTAGTTGACCAACCTTCTGATACAGGCTGTAAAACTGTCTCAGTCTCTCTTACTTGTAAGGCTCCAAGTCAAGCACTGCTACATATATATGTCACGAAATAACGTTAATATATGCCACACTTCATGGGAGCTGCACAATTGTTGTTTTTCTTTCCAGAATATTTGTATAAAACAATCTCATACCAAACAAGGGCCATTTTACCATGTGATCAGTAGATTTAGGATTATTAATAGAGTCCATTATTCTGCTATACTCCTGTCAATACCTGGAATGATTTGTGTTGAGTTCATTACTTGCCCCCAGACCAAAGGATTATAAGCAATGATTAGCTTATGCATTATTCAGAAAGATATGTGTTAATGCTGAGTAGAGCAGAGTTAGTTAAGTGGGAACAAGATGGAATGGCAGGGTCCAGGCCTCTACAGCTTTATAGTTTTATGAGATAGTTTGGAAAGCTCCTTAGAAAAGTAAGCTAAGAATTTCTCTGGGAGAATGGTGTGTAATAGGCAGAGAAGAGTCATGGCCACAGGAAAGTGAGTGCATGTGACCTGCTGTTGAGCAAACAAACTGCTTAAGGTTTGTAAAGGCTTCAGCCTGTCATAGCTCCAGCTACATATGCAGTTCTCTATGTTATTGCATCCTTTGATTTTAATCCTGGATGTCTCAACAGCCAGTTTGTTAGCCAACATGGTAACTGTGCAGAGGCATCCTCTGAGGTAAGCCTGAGTTGCCTCATAACTAGCATACAACCAACAAGGATGTCATGCAACCATAATCCAGAGTAAAGTTGTGGTGATTGCAGTAGGGTTGGCTATTCCACCACAGCATGACTGTGCCTGTAAGGGTTGTTTCAAGGGTTTAGCCAGAAGGTGGGAAGGGCAACATTAGTATCTTTTTCCTGCCTTCTTCTCCACCAATACTATTTGCTGACTGATAAACAGCTGCTCATGTCACATGAGTGCCTTGCTGTCGTATGTACTCCCTCCTCTGCAGCAAGAAAGCAAAAGAGTCTATGAAGCAAAGATCCCCTGTGTGGCTCCAAGGCCTAGGGGAGGACCCCCAGATGACCCTGGTTTTGTGTCCAACTATGTGTTCAGGTGTGTCTCAATGATTTTCTATCCTTTTCTTTGCCAACTACCACAATTTTCATTTTCCGTACACCCCAGGACATACTTGCATTATTTCCTGCCCTTACTTTTACTCTTAAGTAGTTTGGACTAATTATTTCCTATAACTGCCTTTCCCTTTTGTGTTAGAAAGCCAATGGCCGCTTTTTTACGTGCTTTATCTTCTGGTTAGAAAAGGTTGTTCAGTTACCATTCAGAAATGGTAAAAGAGTATAAAAATTCAGATAGTTAAAGTGCACAGAAATCAATAGTTTGAAAATCTTCTGGACTTGTTTGCTGGGTTAATAGCTAAGCAGAAAAGTCCGAGTGAAATGCCTCATTAAAAAGAGAGAAGTCTGATGGCAGGAATGAATGGGGATTGTTATAGCAGTGAGCAGAGTACTGGCACTGTCAGTATCTTTTGCAGCTTTTCGACTCATCATTTTAGAGAAACATCAGTGTGTGTCTGTGAGCTTTTCTTTAAGACAGAGGCATTTGTGCCCTTTCTTATTACTCCTTTTCATACTGTAGTTCTGTTTTGACATATTTTCCCAGTCATGTATGCTTATTTTCTGCTGTTTCACAAAAGTCTGCATAATTTACCAGCCAGGCTAAACTGACTAGTTTCTGTAGCTTGCTTTTAAAATCATTGGATTTTTTTTTTAATATGATTTAACCCCTTCAGCTACAATTAAGGCTCATCACTAGCAAAGCTTTACACGTCCAGCTGTAGGACCTGGTCCTGCAGAGATATGCATCTGCCGTTTTGAAACAGCAGAATTCTGTATACTAGTGGATTTAGATTTTAGATATTCAGGTGAAATTTGCATTCATTAATAGGCAAGATAAAGCCTGTAAGCATCCGTTCTTCAGTTACCAGATATAATACAGAAAAACATATGTCCCTTTGGGCATGCTCTTCAGTTCTGAAAAAGAAGACACGAAGAGCACGTGGTTGAGGATAAGCGCTTGAAATTTAACTGAACTTTTAGTGATGTCAGACTACATTAAAGCATTATCCTTTTATCCGGATATTTCAAGCTTTTTCCAAAAAAAGGTACTTTCCATTTGGGAATGCACTGTGTCTATCAGGAGAAGACTTTGTATTGCTTTTATGGCTTTATAGCAAGTGGAGATGCATGTTATATCAGATGAGTTGCAGACTGCATGGGTTGAGAAGGTATGCATTTGATTCACCAAAGCCTTATGTGAAGTGCATTATAATTAAGCTATTAAACATACTGATTTGTAGATCCAGCTACACATTTCTTTAGCTTATGTCCTTCAAATATCGTAATATATTTTGATGATTGGGTTGACTTCACCTCCTCTTATGAGATATCAGGAATCCAGTTATGGCCCCATAACATTTTCTGGCACTTACAGAAAAGCTCAGGTGTGATCTCCTGTGTCAAAAAATTAATCTGGTAATATTCACATAGAGCTTCATACCTTTGCTACATTAATGTAGATAAGCGTAAACAGTGGCAGAGAAGCATACTGAGCTTGATGATGAGTGAAGTGGATTTTGCAGACATCTGTACTTAATTGTTGTAGCTCCAAGCTTGCCACAGCACTGCAAGCTCTCAGCAAGAAGTGCTGGCAGCTGTCTTGCTCCAGTGTAGACCAGCTGTGCTCCTGGGGCTCCTCAGCACCCACTGGAGCCCAGACAAAGAGGCTAGGTGTGCCAGATAAGCCTGACATCTTCACTTTCTCATGCCTTGGTGGTGCCATGTTGAGCAGTCACTGTGCACAAGGAAGCATTTCTAGCTCTGGCTAGTGGCTGTGTCGGCAGAGGGAGTTCCCTCCCATGCTGGGGAAGGATACCTATGTGGAAGAGGCTTCCTGTCCCTTGCTCCCTTTCCCAGATGGAAAGCTTACCTGTTTTACAAGGAGCCAATATGCAATGTGTTTCCTTCCTGGCAGTACTGTCTTCTCATGAAATGCATTTTTACTTTACCCATCTCCAAACAGAGAAGCATAGAGGCTAATTTCCTTCTTCATAGCATTGCTAGTTTCTTACTAATCTTCCAGAATAGAAAAAAAAAGTGAGTAAAAAACCTTAAACTGCCAGACAAACCCAGCCTATTTCCATGAAACTTTTCTGTTTGTCAGATCTGAGTCTCCACTTGCACAAAATAATTAGAAGTTGTACTACATACTGCATGCCTAGCATCAAAGGAGTCACAAATGCCTGGTGTTTTCTTCTAAACAGTCTCTGGGGTAGTGAAAGCTGTCAAAAATCAAAGCAGCTGGCTTCTCTGTGAAGCATGGAGGCCCTTTCTGTGTTATCAAAAACCACAAATATTTAAAAATAATTGACAGAGAACGTAATCAATTTTCATCTGATTTACCAAAGATCATGCAGTCTTGAAATAACATAAGCATCTCAATTGATATCAACCAGATCAATACTGATATTTTTAATTCCTGAAAGAGAACAACAGCTGTCAAGAAAGCCTGTGCACTTACTGCACAGAATGTATAAACATAGAGGAGGTGTGAGTTCTCTTCCTTCGAATGTGCTCTCTGTACCTATTTGTACAGATGTGTTTTAATAAAATCTCTAATTCAGTGAGTAATTATTTATAATTGCTCAAACATTGGATTGTGCATATCCATCCTTATCAAACAGCACCTACATGATATATCTGCATATATCTGGTATAATCTGCAACATTTTTGCCAGAATGTTATGTAGAATTTGCTCAGAGCTGGAAGTTCAGACCTCAAAAAAGATACTGTTATCTAAGTACGAGATCATGCCTTGCTGGCATAAATCACTGCAGGTTTTTGATTCACTCTCGGCTTTTACCACTGTGTCTCTGTCACCTGGCCGTCTCTTATAAACCCATTATTCTCCTCTTTGAGACTGGATACAGGTTGTCAGGGTCATAGGTAGTAATAGGTTTATAAACTTCTTTATGACCCAACTGTTAGAAGCTGAGTGAATACAACCATTCAGAATTCAAGAGTGGATCCCAAAACTGCATGCCTTTGCAAAAACAACAAACAAACAAACAAATAAAACCTGCTGTTTCTACATTTGCTTTGATGCTGATGTAGTCTTGTATCTCTACCTAATCACTTTCTTGGTAGTTCAAGCTATTCAAAATTTTCTGGGGCTGAAAGCAAACAAAGAAAAAAACTTTTCCAAAATGTCAGGAAAACAAAATTCCAGATGTTTTTCCCCGCCTGCTCTATTCCGTCCGCTTGCAAGAAGGTGGCTCTGCTGTGCTTGGCTGCTGACCTATGGTGGACAAAGAGAGAGAGAACCGGAAAGTGCTGAAGTAGCAGCCCATTAGCAGCTGGATTAAATAAAGTTGAATGTGGCTGTCTCAGGAGCACTGGGAAAAAAAAAAAAGAAAAAAGGCAAGGAGAAAAACTGGGGTTTCCGAATCAGCAGTTTAGTCAGCAAAATCAGTTGCACTGAGGGAAAAGAACTATTTAGGCCACACAGCTGCACTGGCAAAAGTACAAGGGAAAGTCCCGGTCTTAAATGCAATGAAGGCCTCTTGCTGCTTCTGTATCTTCCCCTTGCATTCCTGTGTTTAGGTTGTGTGTTGTATATTGTTGCATAATCCATACAGGAAAGGTAAATATATTGATATTAGTATATGTTCAAAGAAAATAAAAGTTTCTGGCCCAGTCAAATTTATAGACCGGAAAAACTCTAGCTTAGTTGAAATCAGTATGAATTTGGCCATTGATTTTTAAGAGTGTGCAGATTTTATCCCTATTTGCATCTGAACTGTAGTTCTACAGGCAAACAAAGAAACTTTTTTTAAAAACGAGGTTTAGAAGGATGCACAAATCTGATTTGCATTTCAACAAAACAGAGCAAATCAATAAGCTTTTAAAAGTGAAATGACCCTCTAGTGATTCGCAGTGAGGTGCTGAAGAAATCCACTATGGGAGTAGTTGAATGGTAGTTTTCACTACCATTACCATCACTACCATATCACACTATCACAGATTATTGCTCCCCTTTAATTTGCTGTCTGGTACCACATAACTGATTTCCACAAATTAATTAATTCACAAATTATTACACGTTACGCTCTGTCTTCTAGGCTCAGAATGTTAGCATTGATACAGAAAAGAAATCTTTAACTGTTTTAGTCACAAAATCACGATCTGCTTCACTTTTATGTGTGAGCCCTTTAACTGCTACGAGACAAATCTAGATACCTCGTTTGTGTATATTTTGATAATCTCTTAAATTTATTCCAGTTTTCACTTGGACAGTCAAATATCACTTTATATTAGTTGGTCAGTCAAGCTACATGAAAGAGGGGCAGTATACTCAATAATTTACATATATAAAAAGCAACCAAATCCTTCTGTTAATACACTATAAAAACTGTATTCTGTTTCTAATGCACTACAGACTTTTCTTTAAATCTCTTGACTGGAGTTGTTTTCCATTAACATTAATAGGTTTGAAATTGTTCTTTGATCTGTTTGTACGGATGCATAATTGTGTCATAGTGTTCCAACTTTTAAATCAGTGGTACATAATAATCATAAAATCCTTCATAAGATGTGACATTTTAACCATGCTTTACAGATCTTGAGAAAGCAATCAGGACATATCAGCATTTTTGCATCTTACACACCTTTAAGCCATTGTATCATCTTTCTAACTGGGGTCACTCTCTCTTTATATTTGTGCTATATTGAATCAAAGAATACCTTATTTCTGTTACATTTCATTAAAGGTAACTATATTATATGATTTTTTTTTAATCTGTCCTATATAAAAACTAAGTGTCTGTGTTAATGTTTTGGGTAAAATGATGCAGAGGATGCTGTATTTCTGGATGATGAAAAGGAAAGGGAAGAGTATGTCCTGAATGATGTTGGTGTGATTTTCCATGGAGATGTCAACGACATAAAATTAAGAAGCTGGAGTTATGGTCAGGTGAGTTAGCAATTCCACTGACTGGTCCCAGTAGGACTGCAAGTGAATTTAATTGACAGCAGACTGTGGTTGAGACTGTGGGCTCTGGAGTGCATTAGTGTCTACCTCAGAAACATAAGGGGCATAATTTTAAAATTGTATGAAGTGGGTATACGCCTAGTCCAAAACAGTAATTTCCTAATATTTACTATTTAAAGATCTTGTTTTAGGGGCTCGTTTGGGGCACCTAGAGGCTGCATGTCGAAAGTTATGATCATTAGCTGATGTTTTCACAAGGAGCAGTATTTTTTCTGCCATATTATTGCTTCTTCAGGATTAAACCTGTTTGGTGAAAGAGGAAAGATTTTTTCACCCACCACCACAGCAATAGATTTTTTTTTTCTTTTTGACTCTTCCTTTAACTTCTGTCAGCTTGGCAGAAATAATTCTCATTATCTTGTGGGTCAATTTATCACAGAGCTCCTGTGACAAACTGCAATTTAGTCCTACAATTTAAAATTTCCTCACCACGGTGAAAGAGGGTTGAATTTCTCCCTGCACTGCTTGGACTTGATATACTCGGGCTCCAGTGGCCTTCTGAAGCCTGATGGGAAACTCCCTCCATCAGGCTCAAGTGTGATATTGATGCACTTAGACCTGCTGCCTTCATCAACATCAAACACTTGCTGTTTTTTTATTTTACTTCAATCTATTTGTAAGTAGTAAACAGCTTGAAATTCCCTGCAGGATTTAAAAATTAAGCTGTTGTATAGGGATTAGAAACAATAGGCATTTAGGGGCAATATCTAAATGAGCTAAGGTCACCCTAACTGTCATTCAGAGGGCAACAATGGACAACTCTTGGACTCAGCTTATCTCACCTGCTGTTTTTTCCTAACATTTAGATATTTTCTTAATGCTGTGGTCAATGGATCCATCTAGTTTTCTCTGCACCTCTCAAAAATGATCTCTGAGAGCAGAGCTTGTTGTTGTGCTTTCTCTCCCTCAGCTAAAAACAACCACAAAGCTTGTGCAGTATGGCTTGCCACTGTGCTTGTCCTGGAGAATTCTCTGAGCTTGCATCTCTCTTGTTTCCATATCTAAGGGTACAGTTTTATCTTTTTCCCTGCATCAGTGCTGCCTTAGGGAGTTTCCACCTCTTCACTGTTTCTTTGGTTGTGTCAGCACGGTTGCTTGTGGCCTCTGCCTGTGAACCTGTTGGAGCTAAAAATAACTCTTAAAAAAGGTAGCTGTTCAGGGGGACAATTCCATAAGCTGCAGGTGCCTCTGAGATAGAGATGTGGAACCATATCTTAAAGCCAAAGCTGGATGTGCATTTAAGTTGACCAAAAATGCCCCCTCCTGGTCCTTCCAACCCCCTGCAAGTGTTGGTGGAGTTATGCAATGAATCAGACTCGACAACTGACCTAGCTGAATAAATATCTCCTTGATATTTTTCTCCCTGGGTTATCTTTCCATTTGCTCAGTTCCTAGATTTGGGATTTGCTCTGTAACAGATGTAGTGGCTGAAGATGGAAGATACCGCTCAAACCAGCTGATGGATTTATGCCTTAGGACATTGAATTTGTGGCCTATAATGGCATGGCCTGAGGTGCTTTTTTTCTGACACAAAAGCCTTCCTTTCAGAAACTGAATAATCTATTTGCTTTTATTAGCATATAGTCCTGCCTGGGATGTTAGGAATGTTCCTTTTTTATGTTCTTTCATTCCATTTTTTCTCAACTTGGAGGGCGTCATGTTCCCCCATGCTGTTGTGCACCTTTTGTTATTACTTGCCTATATGCAATCTAAGTATGGCAGGTACATCTAGGGGAATCTAGTTTTAATGGGAACATTCATTTTGGGGGGGTTTAACAGACATCTCAAACTGCAGTGGTGGAGAAACAATATTCCTTCTAGTTCCTTGACTTTCAGTTAGTAGACATGATGCTCCTTATCTGATTCAGGCAATTCCCAGACATAAAAAACATGCATCTAACTCATATTCTGAGGGAAGTCAGCAATTCTGGATGCTAAGAATAAAAAACATTTGTATGAGTGGATGAAAGTGCTAGCAGCAAGAACAGCAGTTCCCATATTATGGGTATATCATACATGCATTTTTATTGTATGTATACATATAGCCCTGTGCAGTAATGTAAATAAAAAGTGTTAGGTCACGTATACACATAAAATTTAAGATATTTCTTAGTTTCTAAATTTTCCCTCAATCTATCTGTATTTCTCTATATAACCAAACTATACTGTTGTTGATTTTTTCCTTATGCACTGCAATATTTTCAGACTAAAAAAATGCTTAGAAGAATGTCAGTTGAAAGCTTTAACTCAAGCTGTAAATTAAAAAGGAAAATATGATTTAAAACTGGATTATGAGTGGGACATAAGTCTTGCAACTGCCATCTTCAATGAGTGGCATCAATTTGAGCAAGAGAGGAGCCAAAAAAAGTGGACCCAGGAAGAAAAAATAACAGATCAAATGAAACATAGCTGTAATGAATAGGCTGGAAGTGTTCCTTGTAACATGTCTGTGCTTCCTTTCTTCCTAGAGTATGTAAATTGCCAGTCATTCAGGAAAGCCCAAAGGGGATTCAGGGGAAATTTCGCTTTAGAAGAAATGTAGGCACAGGGGAATTGTCTCGCTGAGAAATGATGGAAGTTGAATGTTACATTGATCATTTATTTTTTTTTTAATTTATTTTGTGAGAAGAAAAAATAAATGGGTGGCCAGTAGACTTCTCTTTGCTATCTTGAGTTGGCTTATGTCCACATGCTGAGCTGGGTTAACTTCATAGCCTACAGTGCAAGTGTAATTTTATGGCATGTGCATGGGTTCTTGCAACTGACTGCATGAAATATGGCTTTAATTCAGCTGTTGCAAAAGGTGATGCAGTCCCTCTTATTTTGATTTAAATGATTTTAAAGGTCACCCATTAGAAAAAGGTTAATGTGAAAGGAGAATGCTCACCAAGGGCCAGCCTGACTAAGACTACAGTGCAAATCTATATGCATACAGAAGGAACCTCCTTGCCTATTTTCTTATGCCTTTTTTTTTTTTCCATTAGCAATCTTTTCCAGGGGGCTCTGCCAAAGTTTCTTGGTCTTGAATCCAATTTACTTATTTCCATTTTAGCTATGTCAAACAGACAATGCCTACTTTATACTGCCTTGCTCAAATCACTCCTATATCCTGGCTGCTTATCACTACTTGTTTCCTCTTACATTTCAAGGGTGTGTGCTTTTTGTGTGCTGTTTCTAGTCTACCTCCTTAGAGATAGCATTTTCACGCTAAGATTGAGACCTGGGAAGTGATTTAGTTTGCTTTACAGTTTCTGAAATGCCAGATAGTGGTGAAGGGCCAAACTGGCTTTAGACTGTATTAGGTCTACTCTGTCCCCTACACTACTGTGGTACTACAGGGTATCTAGGCTTAACAGCTTTTCTTTTATTTGTCTTGTTAACCCAGTTATTTCATAGGCATTCATGTCATTCAGTAAATGTTAAGGTGGAAGGCAACAACACCAATAGCAATTTATTCCTGTTCTTTCACTGAATGTCCCATAAATGTCCCATTTCTTTCACAATGTCTTTCACAATGTCCCATAAACTGTAGATAAGAAAAATCTAATTTGCAGGGTAAACTTCCTGTTGATTTAAGTCAGGTGTTAGACACCGATGATGGCTTGAAGTGCGGAAAGCAGATTTTGATCCTGGTGAAAGTGATAAATCATTGGGCCAGACTTGAAGAAAAGTGATCCTGAAGCAGGAGGGATGGGTACAAGGGACCAAGGTTCACAAAACCTGCTGTGAGTATTTCCTTAGGAGGCAGGATCTTCACAGTGCAGTCATTCACCTGAGATTATCTGAATCATATATCATTGGAGTGGACTGGAGAGTCCACAGTTCAAATATTCAGCTTCTCAGGGATGATGCCATACTAGAAGTTGTTTTCCAGGGAAACACTAACTCCCATTTCCCTGTTTGCCCAAACCACAAGAATTAAATTTTGCTCAATGAGACGCTAAGATGTTACTTACTGCTGAACTTCTTCTGCAGAGAAATTAATATAATGCATGTGTGGATGACAGAGCCAAGGAACAGGGTAATGATAAGGCATGCTGCTTTGGAGGATACTTGCATCCATTGCATGGTAGCATCCTAAGCAGTGAGTGGTAAATCAGCTCTAGACAGAGGCAAAAAGTAGTGCTTTCCTAGGGCAGCACTCAGCAGAGAGTGATGAAACAACAGTAACTCCTCTGCCACCTTTGCTCTTGCCAGAGCTTGCGTGCTACCTATGAGAGTCCAAGGAGTGTGTAGGCTTCCCAGCAGGTCATTCTGGCCCTTCAGGGCTCCCATTTTGGCTCCCGCCTCTTACTCTTCCCCCTCCTCTGCCTATCCCCAGGCTGGCAAAGCAATAGCTTGTCCTGGCCTCTGGCCCTCTTTCTCCACGAGGCAAAACTTGGATCACCCCTAAATGCTGAGAAGCCTTCAGCTAGGTTGGAGACGGTTACAAAATCAACTTGGCTTTAGTTGCAGCTTAGCACGAGGGCAAAAATCCTATTAGTATGAATGGTATCTTTAAGAAACGGTTGCATATGTAAAAAATAAAGTCTTCTATTGTGTCATGGTAAGGAGAAGAGCTCAGCAGAGTTTCCATTACAGCTAGAAAGTTAATGTATAATGTTGTGTTTTCAGTGTATATGGAACATTTGTATATTTCCCTGTCTCTTACCGTTTTCCAGAGGACAGAGAAATTTTCCTTTGCTATGCAATTTCTCCTGAGGAAAATGAAATATTTCACAGGGCAAGTTCTGTGACAATGATTTCTGGTCTATTTAGACACCTATGCCCTCAATTCATTCCTGTGCTTGTTCATGCTGGATTGAAGAAACTGTACCTTTTTACTCTATTTTTGAAGAAGACTACTATAGGTCCCTTGACATTTTTTGATGTCTACATTCCTTATACCAGGATTAATCTATACAGTCAGCTTTTGGCTTGTCAATTTTAAGCATATTTAAAATTTATTTTAAAATATTGACTCTTAAAATTAACTTTGGCAAAACATCTATTGGTCAACTCTTAAGTATTGCACTAGCTGAGCGGAGAAGGGAATCTGTGAAGGACATTAAGTCATTAGCAAGCAGATTAGCTTCTTGCAGTTATTATTGCAATATCTTACTATTATATTCTTGTTATCGTATAAAATTTTATAACCTGTCAAAAAGGCCGTGTAGCCATTTTAACCTCAAACCCAGATGGAGGCTGAATTGAAAATGATACTTTTAGAGATGAACATTCTAGAATAAAATTTAATTTTTGACTAAGGAAATTTAACTTGACTAGATCAGCTATTTTTGAAACTAGTTATTTACTGTAACAACAATGAACAATAATTTTGTCGTTTTGCTTTCCAGAATAAAAAGTTACTCAACTTTCCCTACATTTCTCTGTCACTTTCTTTCCTTTTATTTAGTTTGAAGAAGACATTCTGGATGCTTGCCTGTTCTTGATGGACAAGGCAGAACTGGAGCTCTCTGGGCGTGGAAACCCAATCAAGATTGTCCGTGTTGCCTCTGCAGTGGTATGTTATAGATGCCTAAGATGTGTCAGAAGTGACTCTTGATTCAAAGCCAAGCATGATTAAATGGCCTTCATGCCCCGATAGGCTCACACCAACATCTGCCAGATCAGCTGTCCACTCTGAGCTCTTGGGTCTCACTCCATGAAGGATCAAATCCTAATGTCAGCCCCCTGCTTTTTTTCTGAGAATGGTATCCCTGTGGTAGGAAAGTCAGTTTTTGACATTTCACTTCTGGGCATGAAAGCATTCTCTGTGACACTGTGGTCTCAGCTGAGATAACTGATAAAACTATTCCTTCCATGGCAGGTGAGATAGCATGATAGATACAGTTTGGGACAGGGAATTAAGAGACTTAACATGGACTGCAGCATTAACCCCAAAGAAGTCTTAAAACATTGCAAGGTTGGATGTTGTTGTGACTGATTTATAAGCCCCAGATGACCTATTGGAGCTCAGAGGTATGTGGTAGTTTAAGACAGAAAACACTTATCAGAGGGACCCTTGAAGCCCCATAAGCAGAAGAATACACTTTATAGGCCTCAGATATTAGTGAGATTTGAGCCACTCAACTACTTTGGGAAGATGAAGTTCACTTCTGGAAATCCTGGAGTAATTTGGAAACTTAGTAGTTACTTTCCAGTAATCTGAGAAGTTAGGCCAAAGGAGAGTGTGAGTTTTATCTATTTAATATCTGGACCTCAAGAACAAGAGATGAAGAGGTGCCTACATCCTGTCCATATTCCTCTTTGGATCCAGCATCATTGTTTGGACTTATGGGAAGCTATTTTGTGGGTAGCCAGCAGCACAAGGCAAGTCAAAGAGCCAGGACTGGGGCTCTCTTCCTCAAAATGCCATGAAGTGCAGCTGAGCTTGTCTGGAAGGAGCACACGCTTCCAGCAGGGATCAGTGCCTCAATACTGAGATCCTTCTGAGGCTTCCACACACTGAATGGCAGCTAGAGTTTGTTCCATTCATCCTCTTTTTACAGTCAGAGGAGAGCCAGAGAGCAATGGTCTGTAGCACAAATTAAAGATCAAATGCTGTCCTGTCCTTGAAGTGCTCCTTTTCTTGGAGAGCTTCCTGCAGCAGTGAGATGGGCACAAACCCTTAATGCCTTGGTTATATCTCTGAATACCTATCTTTATTCAGTCCTAGGGTTCAGAGGAAGTCGATTTCCTAATTATAAAACAGTAGTTAATCCAGCCAAAAGCCCTTAAATGAGAATTGTGATTTATTTGGCTGGTGTGCAGCTGTTCCACTTTAACATAATTAAAAGGTACAATGTGAATGAGCTTTTTGCACAGCCTGGTTTGGTTCAAATTGCAGATAGGAGATGTATTACTCGTTAATGCCTATCAGTTTAGCTATTAGTCAGCAAAACTCCACACATTGTATAATCTTACAAAGGGAAAACTTACACAGCAAATTTCTTCTTGTTTCATATGTGCTGGACTGAAGAAATTAGATTCTACTCTAAAAATAACAGTGGCGTGTAAGTCAACTGTAAACCAGGAGTGATTTTATTAAAATCTGTGGATGGATGCTGATAGTAAAAGAACGTTGGGAAAGAATTTAGTGTAACTTTTCTGGGGCTTGATTTTTAGTGATCACGTTTATCAATATCAGTGAACATATTTAGCATTAATAAAACTTACTAAACGCACAGCATAAATACTCAGTGCAGTGATTTAATTTCACCATTGTTTTCAAACATCTGACCTTGATTAAAATCGTTCAATAATGGAAAATCCACCAAGGCCCTTAGCAAGAATGTTCTATTCATCTCTTAACTTCATTATTAGACATTTCTGGCTTATTTATAGCCTAAACGTGGCTATATTTGGTCTCTCCCATCATATCTTTGTCTGCTAGGTTAAAGAGCTCTTCATTATTCACTCTGACATACATAATGTTCATTTCCTTTGCCTTTAGATCAATTCCAAAGATGATGATGGTGTGATCGCTGGATCCTGGGACAATAGCTACACTTATGGGGTTGCACCTTCAATCTGGACAGGAAGTGTGGACATTCTCTTGGAATATTACAGTTCTAGACAACCAGTGAGATATGGGCAGTGCTGGGTCTTTGCTGGTGTCTTCAACACATGTAAGTATTAGTGATAAAAGCTCCACTCTGCTATGCAGTTCTTACATAAAAGAGAAAGAGTTCAGATTAAAGTAACTAAAATACTTCCTGGCTCTGTAATGTTCAGTAGTAAATAGAGTAGTAGTAAGCAGAGATACTTATAAATGCATGGCTAAAATAGACATCCTTTAAATAAACTTTTGGCATATTTTTCATTTTGGCTGCTCTTCCACACAAAATTATTAACTCTTTATTAAGTAAAATATGTTCAGTGAGTCTCAGAGGACAAGTCTGGGGTTGGAAGAGAGAAAGTTGGAAAGTCTCAAATTAGGTTCCACATTTCTCTTAGGCAACCTGACATTGACAGGGGAATTGTTATCCAAATCTGCAACATGTAATTATTGCCCAGTAAGTCATATGTGGTATATGCTGTTCCAGAGAGGCTAGAAACTCACGTATCAAGGATTGTTCCTAGCACTACCCACTAAACACTGCCAACATTTTCTATGAAATTTATGAGTCAAAATGCTGACCTGGTATATGAATTGTGTAGGACTATAAGATTAAATTTAAACACACTTGTTTGAACTAGAGTTCCAAAGCTGCAGCAGAAGAAGCAGTGCAGATTTGAAAACCCAGTAGGGAGAACAGTGTTGGATGGGTCTTAATTTTTTATTGTCTAGCACTTGCTAACAGCATCACCTCAAATGAGCACTGCCTGTATACTGGAACACATCACAGAGTATTAGCAGTCAAAGAAGACTCTGCAATGTAAAAGCTGTGCATTCTACAGAGATCAGTGACCAGGCATGCTTGTGTCATGTCCTTTGTCAATGCAGTCAGTTAAGCAGTCCTATGCTTATGATAATGACTAATAGGAGAAGTTGAACAGACACTAGAAAGTCTTTCTTATGCCTATATGATCTCCCCATGGACATTTAAAGTTCTTCAAACTGAGAGGGTGGAGGGGTGCAGATCAGCCTAGGACCAGGGAAGGCACAGTAAACATTTCTGCAGATTTGAAATCTGCTTTTCATTAGATAGTTTTCAGACACCTATGAAGATCTAAGCTTTGGTTCTTGTATTTAAGTCATGACGAAAAAATTATAGAAAATCTTCCCATGAACCCTTTCCCCTTTCCATCTTGCTCAAGACTGTTACATGCATTACCCTCTCAAGAAATAGCATTATACTTCTAACAAAACTGAAAGATATTAATCACTCATCTCCTGCAGCAAACATGGAAACTGTATAATTAATGCCATGTTACAAGACTGGTTCTTTACCCTCAGGCGACCTTGGACATTTCTACATTATTTTGGCCATTCTGCACACGTATATTTCATTCTGTGCGTAATTTTCTTCCAATTTGGTAATAGAATTTCATTTTTTTTTCAATAACCGAGGTGGTTCAAAAGCTATTCAGAACAGCAAGATCCTCAGAACTAAGCTCTGTTCTGACCATCTAGCCTTCTTATGGCACAGAATTCTCACAGCTACAGGTTTTTATTCTTGCACTTTTTTTTCTGCTTTCCTTTCATATCTGGTGCGTGTTTTCTGCTAAGAGGACAGAGCTAATAGGGGTTCTATATTTCCACTCATTAAATAGTACACTCTGTTCTTGGCCATATCAGCAATAAACCACATTCAAGAAACCAGAGATTTATTTGCCTTCCTCATTCTCTGAGGTCATACAGTCTTGCTTGAGTTTCTAGAGTCTCTGCAAAATGCAACAGGTTTGAAAAGATCCTTTTCCATTATGAAATTAAGATACCATCTAGTACATAACGTCTTCCACATTTGACTACTGTCTGCTTCAAAGAGAAGAGAGCAAAGATCTGGACAGGCATGCTGGACTAAAAGGATTGTTTTGAGTTGTATTTTGATTTTTTTACAGTTGCCGATGTTTTATCACTGTGACCAATTCAGCTTTCCAAGGTTATTATGTTGTGCACTTTGGATAGTCCTCTGTTAAAAATGCTAAAACATTCTGGAAAATGGCCATTAATCTTGAAATTGTCAGACAAATTATTTTCAATGAGCCCTGATGGCTCATGTGCTGGAAGCCTGGGAGGACATTTGAATTAAGTTTAATCAATAGGTACATATGGTATTGGATGCAACCAGGTAATTTGTCATCCAGTAACTTGGAATGAATGAATGAATACTCTTTACTGGGAGTCACAGTAGTGACACTAATGAATATATAAAACTCAGCAGTATCAGGAAGGACTGCTCAACATTGCAGCATCGGAACTATTTTTAAGTAGGATTTTCAATCTTATTTTTCCTGAAACCCTCTACTTTCAGCAGAAGCTTGTTGGCTCTTGAATGTAAAAGAAGGAACATTTTTTTTTGCCTGAGAAAGAAAAGGCAAATTCTGGACAAGCTGAGCAGATGTATCACACCACAGCCCTACTCTCCCCTTGGGGCCATGCTCCATGTCTGTTTCTATCACTCAGAGTGCACCACAAGTGCAGAAAGGCCAGTGATATGCCGCTATACTTTAGAAGTAGCCAAAGCTTTTGTGCACTTCTCAATTTACCACGTATTGAATGAAGTCACCAGCTATACTGAAATGTTCTGAGATCTTGGAGTTTTGGGTGGTAGGAGCAGAAGAAGATTGGATCCTCCCCTTAAGATCCTTTTCTGGAAGGAACTATTGACTCCAAAATGCTGTTATCCAACCATCAATATTCATTATGTAGTGCATTTTGTTCTGACTCTCTAACACTGACATTTCTCTTGCATATAATGCAGCTCTCTCCACTCCCCTTATTGGTTAACAGACCAGTCAGTTTCTGCTTTTTTCTTTGTGTTCTCCAGATTCTTTCTGATGGTAACAGAAATGAACATTCAGTCCTGTAACATGGCATTAATTATACAATTTCCATGTTTGCTGCGGCAGATGAGTGATTAATATCTTTCAGTTTTGTTAGAAGTATAATGCTATTTCTTGAGAGGGTAATGAAAACAGGAAACCTCCAAATCAACCAAAAGAAGAATCTTTCTAATCTTCTTCATTTTAGCATTGTACTGGATTACTGGTACTAGGAGGCTGTATGTATTTCACATTTTTTGGAAGATTACAAGCCAGAAGATGAAGACATAGGTTAAGCCTTTATATTACCACGTGTATTGAAAGCTGACCATTTTAGGGCTACATAGGGTATATAAAAAGCAAACAGGAAGAATTTTGGAGGTTAAAGTGACCAAGGTTTTTTTCTGTTTAATTATTTACATTTTCTCTCTGATTATTCTGTCATCTATAAGTGAGCACAAACTCCTAGTATTTGTATCTCACTACACTTTTCTCTTTGCCACAGTTCTGAGGTGCTTGGGAATACCTGCAAGAGTCATTACCAATTATTCTTCTGCCCATGATAACAATGCCAATTTACAGTTAGATTTCTATCTGGATGAAGAAGGGAAATTGGACACCAAAACTACAAAAGACTCCATCTGGTGAGTTTTCTAGCTTTCCTATGTCAGATTACTTTTCAAAATAATCCAGTTTATCTGAAAATAATAGTAATAATAATAAAGCCAGTGTATCATGCAAGTTACTGAAATACTGTTGATTATGAAGATCAGATTTAAGAAAACAGCTCCTCCTAGGATGCAAGAAATGAACTCTGTTATTTTAGAGAAGACAGTTTTGTAACTCTCTCCTCAAACTTTTACAGTCTCCCGTATGACATGAGAAGTGTAGCACATACTGATTTCACGATCTGTGGCATACTGGGTTTCAAGTCTCTTCTCTTCAGTGTGACGCACTGAATGTGACCTCTGTACATGACCTCCCATATTTAGGAGATACTTGTCCTATTCAGTGTCAAGGACAGATTTCCAAACAATCCATTAAAATGCTCCATGAAATCGATATGCAGTTTTACATCAGCTGAAGAAACAGCATCTCAGCTTCCCATGTTATGTTTGCTTTTTCTTGGCTTGATTACTTTCTGAAGTCTCTTGTTCATCCCATTATCCTCCTGGTGTATTTATTAGTACATGGTGCACATAACCCTTTTGACATAAGTTAATACAGCATACATCTCTTTTCATTTCTCCTTTGTGTCCTTTTCTCCATTTCTCTGTGACACTCAATGGCAGTCCACATGCAGACCTTAAATGGCTTGTTTCTAAACCTCGATTTTATTTTTATTACTGCTTTCTTTTCTGTTTTTTTTTTTTAAGTTCAAGGTATCATAATGATTTTTTAAATATATTTCTCACTTTTGTTTATAATCTCCTGCAAACTGAAAGAGAGCATTTTTTTCTTTATTAATACATCATTTCTATTGCCTTGAACTGCTGGAGCTGTTCAGTTTTCACATTTTAAATACCCTCAAACTTCAGAGATACTTGGAGCCAGGATTTTTAGTAAATCCATCTCTGAGTGTGGGATCCCTCTGAATCTCTCTGACATTAATTTATTTTTATTAAAGAGCATTTTCTCCCTTAGGAAAGGAAACAATCACAACAAAACACATATACAGAATTTCACCCACTTTGCAAAAAGTTATTTTTATAAAGCTGGCCGGATTTGGGCCCATCAGTACCACTCTGTTCCCTTACTTTGTCCTCCTTGTCTTTCTTAATGATGATATAAAGACACTTAAGGAATACTTCTCTTGGAGGAGAATCAAGACTAACTCCTATTGTGAGGACAGAACAGACCAAAATCAGTACCTCAGCAGAAACTTGTTTGAAGTCAGCAGATGCTGGACGGGTTCATCCATGTCCAGGCCTGAAGCAAGCCCTTCTGAGCCCCCTGCCCTTCACTTCTACCTCACATTTCTCCTAATATGTCTCTCAGTAACACTGCCTGCACTCATTAGTTACTGAAAGAGCAGCAGCTGGTTGCAGCATGCGCCTGCCTCATAAGCAATATGAACTACCCTTCTTAAATTGTCTTCCAGGCATAAACCCCACCTGGTCATCTTTTATTAATTCCCCCATCACTTTGTTTAGTCTATTCGTAATTATCTCTGTAAATATTTAATGGTCACTACATTGATCGTTATAGCCATTCTTGCATTCCTTAATGTCTTGGGCTTGCTGTAGAATACAAGAACTACACAATTCAGTTTAACAAATTATGGCTACAGAGCCAGGTCCTCAGCTGTGCTCACTTCTATCAGAGAGAAGTTCCTGCTGCATTTTGGAGAGAGAAACATTCCCCTTGTTTGCCTCACTCTAAAGTCCATAGAGAACAAGCTACATTTTTCTGCCAATTCATATACAATGCCCTGTGCATTAGGCATATTTATTGTTTTCATGGCAGTAGATCTAAGTAAATACCCATCTCTTTGCACTCAAAATTGTTCAAATACAAACCAGGGAGAAAGACTCTATTTCCCAGAGTGACTGAAGAAATATAAGACATTGCATTATCTAATTACAGGATCGAAGCAGAGTGTCATTTTTGCCATTGTTAACCCCCTTAATTTTTTCATCCTTCCCTCCTGCCTGCTCTTCAGGTTGTTCTTCTGCAGAACACAAAAGCAATGACACATCTGAGTTGATTCAAAGTGAACCAGTGAGCGCTTCAGGGCAGGGATTGTCTTTCTCACACCTTAGCATAACAGCTTTTAAAAACCCACCTGCCATAAAGTGCGTCCCCATTTTCTGGTGGCCCTCAGCAAACCTCTGCAAGCATGATTCAGCACTGACTACTCCCAGCAGCATAAAAAATTCTCCAAGAGTGCGTCATTTTCCTTGAATAATTCCTTTTCTGTAGTGCTGCTTCATTAACTCTCATAACTGACAAGTTTTTCCCTGATCCAGGCTTTCATTTTCACTTTGAAATGTCTTGTTAGACAAGCCTCAGATCCTTCCGACACTGCTTCACAACTGATTTTCACCTATTATTTATGAAATTGTCAGAATTTAACAATCCCATTTCGTTTGCTAATATCATTGATACACCCCTTATCACAAAGGTCTTTATCAGTGGCTACACAGATAAAATTTTATTCACATCTGCTCTCGGATATATATAATTTGCAAACAAAATTGCCCCTTTCTATATTATTCCTTTCCTTTTTTTTTTTTTTTTTTTTTTCAGTAATGCAATTCAAATACTTTGCAGCAAGGCCTTCTTCCTAGGTGATCTTTCTTCCTCGTTTATACTTTCCCTTGAGTGCTGATAATATCGCAAGAAGAAAGTTACAGGATCTGCCTTTTCTGCTCATCCCAAAAATGCTCTGAAACATTGAGGGCAGATTTAAATGAGTTGACCTGAAGTGTTTTGATTTTTGTTTGTTTTTTGTTTGGTTTGGTTTGTGGGGTTTTTTGTCTATTTGTTGTTTTGCTTGTTTGTTTTTCTTTTTCCTGAACATGGAGCCGTGTGAGGACATTGCAAGCCTGGGTGCATAGCTAAACCACTCAGATAAATACATCTTTAACCATATTGTTCTGGGCTCCAAAGGCAACACTTGGCCCACAGACAGTTTTATGGTGGTCTTAAGGTGGGTTTTATAGAAAAACGTATTCTAGGAGATCTGATCTCCTCACTGGTATGGGACACTGGAAAGCCTTTGTAAGCAATCTCCAGTGAGGATATTTTTATAATATTTATGTGGGGTCATTTTATCAATCAGCATGAGCCTCTTTTAATAGAAACCAGACAAGCCTGTTTGTTTTGAGACATGGAAACAAAGGTACCAATGGTGCTAAAGCTTCAGTTGTGCTAGATATGAAGTAGATTTTCAATGGTAGATCTTCAACTAGGTGTGAAGCAATCTTCAATGGCTTGAAAAGAGTTTCAAAGCTTGCCTTAGTGGGCATATTGAGTTAGAGGTGTTCTCCACTGATAGAAAAGACTCTGGCGCTTTCGTCACATACCCCTTTTAGGCACATGGCTTAAGAGTGATTTTATATCTCTTTATGTACCTCAATAATCTCCAAGGAGCAGAAGCTCTTGTCAGAGACAATTGCTTCGTCACACAGTAGGAGAATTACAAAGCTTCCTTAGCTTGCAGTCAGGAAGCTACAATGAAGGATTTGGGCCTGCAGGTTTTAACATAAACAAAACTATTATATCTGAATAGATTTTTTTTCAAGTGTAGACTTCTTCACCCCTACTTTGGCAAATGTGATTATTGAAGCAGTAGTGTTACATAAAGACATGTGTTTGTTTTATTTTTTATGCTGTTTTCCAAGAATTTAATTTTATGTTCTCACCTCCTTATAAGGAACTATCATTGTTGGAATGAAGCTTGGATGTCCAGACCTGATCTTCCTGTTGGTTTCGGAGGATGGCAGGTTGTTGATGCGACACCCCAGGAAACCAGTGATGGTAACATTACTTGATGTTCCTTATCTTTCTTTACAGTGTTTTGGTTCTTGGTGCAAAACAAGAGTTGATGATAGGAAGGCCAGGGCCAGTCTGTTGTTCTGAGATATAAATTGGATCTGTCCTTCCTATGCCACTGATCACAAGGCACGAGCACAAAATTCTGCAAGAGGAGGACTCTGTTGGATGGAGAAGAGATAGCATCTCCTTGCCAAAAGATGGCTTACACATTTTTTAAAGAACCTGTACCACTGTCTGATCAAAGTATTTCTCCTCCATTATATGTCATACAATTTTTACTGTGACTTTTTACTATGACATTACACTGCCTGGGCAAGCTCTAAACAAGAGGGAAAAAGTGAAAATTCACTTCTGTTTCATCCCAGTCCTTAGTTGTCTAGTTCTTAAAGGATGGTTCATGCAGATTTGCTTTAAGATGCTTCTACACCCATGATCTAAATGAGCCTTCCCAAAATGATATCTTTAACCAAAACCAACTTTAATTGAAGAGTAATCTAGCAATTGAGGCTTACACCAGAATTTGCAGAACCGAAGAGTTTGGTAGCATCAGACTTGAGGCTGTGTGTTTTAGCAGACTGTCAATGGAAATCACGCTTTTAACTTCTTGGTCAAGAATCCCTATAAAGTATTAAAAAAGCTCACCAAAAACAAGGATTTTTTTCTTATTTTTTTCATGTGAGAAAGTAAAACATTTTGTTTTTTTTTTAATTACAAAAATTACTCATTCTCTTGCTCTCCATCTCTTCTTTCACAGGTATGTACAGGTGTGGCCCAACTTCAGTTCAAGCTATTAAACATGGTCATGTTTGCTTCCAGTTTGATGCTCCTTTTGTTTTTGCTGAGGTACATACCTAAAAAGTTTAGTACAATAAATGACATGAGTGGGAATATAGGTGAGACAGAAGAAAGGGGTCCACTGCAGTTCATGAACTGCAGTGTTTTATGCAGTGATCTGTGAATCATTTTCCTCTGTATGACTTAGAGCTCTTCAGTGTAGAGAATGCATTCTTTGATTTAGGGAATGAATAAACATGCTTCCCAAATTTGAACATATTTCTCTTGCCTATCTATATTTACACTGATTGGTGCTCTGAAGCTGTAAACAGCAATATGTTGCATGTGCCTAATTTTCACTGGGAGGAATTAGCACGTTGAATTAGGAATTAGGAAGGAATTAGGAATTTGAGTCAAGATATCATTGTTTTGAGTTTGGCTTTTCTTCCACTCCCTCTCTCCCTCCTCTTAATTCAGTCCTTTTTTATTTAATGTTATAGGTGAACAGCGATATTGTTTACTCAAGAAGAGAAAGAAATGGAGCACAAGTGATTGAAAAAATTGACATGACTCATGTTGGAAAGTTGATTGTGACCAAGGAAATTGGGAGTGATGGAATGATGGACATCACTGAGGAGTACAAGTTCCAAGAAGGTAACCTGAGATGGTGTGTAGACCTCACTGAGGTAGACATACCGCAAACAAATAATAACTGTGTATTTTCCAAACAAATCCTAACTGTGTGTTTACAGACTTCTGGCATTGAAGGACCTCCACAAAAGCTTCCAAAGTGCCCTCTGAAACTCTTTATTTCTAATTCCATCCCAGAAACACTGCAGATCCACTGATAAGAACACAAGCTTCGTTTGCTGGTCAGAAATGGTTCAGACAGGGTGAACTATAGTGAAAACAAAGAATAATAATGGAGTAACTTGAAGCATTCTGAATAGCTATGGGATTTCTTTACACCTGTTTAGGCATTTCTTACTTACGTCTGAGACAGAAGGACAGCTGTTCACATAGAGTAAATAATTGTAGCTCCATCAACACCAAGTAAATTATGTTTAGCAGATATGTCTTGAATCTTTAAGAATAAATCACTTTTAAGCTGTGAAGTTCTAAAGTTTAACTTATCTTTTCACCTCAACCACCTTGTGGTAGTGCACCTATATGACTGATGATTGGATTGATACAGTACCCCTGTTTCTCTGTTAATATGATTTTTTTTTTCACTTCTAGGCTCAGATGAGGAGAGACTGGCTCTTGATACTGCTGTGATGTATGGTGTTAAAAAGCAAATTACCCAAGATACTGTGTATTATCCACAGACAGATGTTGACATGGACTTCCAAGTACAAAAGGCAATCCTTGGTAGTGACTTCAAAGTCACTATAGCTTTCAAGAACAAAAGCCAGAACTATTACAGTGCTACTGCATATTTTTCAGGAAATATAGTGTTTTATACAGGAGTCATGAAGAGTGAATTCAAGAATCAAACTTTCAATGTGACACTGGCACCTTCCTCATGTAAGACTGAGATACTTGTTTCCAAACCTACTTACATTTTTCCTGTGTGTCATTAACCCTCACCAAAGTTTCTGTTCATGGTAGACCAAATTCTAGTAGTTAGAGACAGGGTATCTTTTCCATTTCTGCCCATGTTACCAGTGTCATTCTTTAGACTGGTTTCTTCAGGCTGCTTCTCCCTGTATAATGCTTTTTTTACATAGACCTGCATGTCTGGAAACTTTTAATTATTCTCATTTAGTACAAAAGAAAGAGAAGGCATGCAGTTATTAAGCTTCAAGGTATCATCTTTCTAACTTCAGGTCTCCTTGATGTAGCTCAGGAAGAGAAGAAAAAGCTCTGGTTCCACAGGTGCGATTTGCAGGGACAGAAAGGGAGAGAAAGGGGTGAATGTCTTGACTTTCTTGGAAGAACCTGACAAAGGAGAGGCTGAAAGCTGTTCCAGGGCACAGCTGGCTGGAGGACTGGGTAGTTCATGGTTTATACTTTTATAGTAATCTAAAATGCTCATCTTCAAGTAGGATGTGCTACTATCTACAGCAAAGACATTTGTGAGACAGGCACACAGTATTAAGGTGAGTTATCTTTACAGATGCAGCATGTGCTTTTCCTAGTGCCTTCTGGACTGTCTTGGGGAGATCCTGCCCCTCTCTTCTCATGAAAAAGCAGTTCCTTTCAGCCTAGTACATATGGCTGAAGGCTAAATTTTGTGCTGCTCACAGTAGAGAAAGGGAATATTCTTTTATTTGGGATGTAATCAAGCTGTTTCCTATTATCCATGGCATTAACTTTCAGAAAGTTTTTCAGAGTATGTGTCAGGGACCTGCCCGGGTCCAAGGTGCTATACAGCAGACTGGTTGCAGAGCCCAGCAGCAGGTGACTGCCAAATACTTGTTTCTCTGACAAGCCTGAGCTCTTGGATCAGAGTCTCCATCTCAACAAAAATGCTAAAAACATGCTTTAAGGAGTCAAGATCTTCCCTCTTGGCTATATCAGAGGATCCTGCACTTGAGTTCCCCACTGAGCAAGTCAGGAGCCGAGGCTTTGCCTTGTTGATGATGCTACAGGGCAAAAGCTCTCTCTGATAAGTACAGAGAGGGCTGCAGGACTTTGCAGTCTCAGAGGACATGTCCCCTAGGTCCCACTCTGATTCAAGGTCACAGCCTCCCCAGCTGATATCTGAGATTTCTCACCTGTAATGAGGTAGTGCCAGATGAGGATTGTGAGCCAACTGCTAGAAGAAGAAGAAGCAGGGGAGTCTTCATGAGCAGCTGGGGGCTCACTGAGCTGCTTCCCCCATGGGTGGGAAGCTTGGGTGCTTCCCACCCCCCAAGGAGTATAAGTTTGGCTATATGAATGGTAGTGTATTGCAGCCCCTTCTGAGGGGCTTGATCTATCTCAGGGGCAGCTTCTTGCTTGTGAGAGAATACCCTGCTGAAGGTGTGCTGATAGGATACCTTTTCAGGAACTCAAGCAGGATTTGTAAGCTTAGTTCATGGCAGGAAGTATTTTTATATGTACATATATATAAAAATATATATATATGTCATGAGGTAACAAAATATTACAATATAATAAAGATGTGCCAAAGGCATTCTTCCAGACCATGCTATTGAAAGAATGAAGTGAACTAAGTTTTCAAGCAGGAACAAAATGCATGATTTTCAGAATAATGATTAAAGGAATTGTGTGGGTTGAAAATATCTTTGAGGATTTGAATAGCTTAAACCTTCTGATGCCTTCAAAGGTGCTCTCACATCTCCGTTATATATAGTTTTCTCTATTTTTTGAAAGGCTGTAAGGCAGCTCAGTGTTGTATCTCCCTTGGCTTTCCCAGGTGCACTAACTGGTACTGGCAACTTACCAGCACAGTCAATGCTACAGAAATGGAAGTCAATTCTTCTTTTTTTTTTTCTGTATTTATTAATTTTAAACAGAAAAGTTCTTTACTTCCACTGTTAAGTAAAATTCACTTAGAATGCAACTATTTATTTATTTACTTTGCACAGATGAAGAATACCTTGCCTCAATTATAATTTATGATTTGGAGCATTATGGGAAGTTCTCTTACAAGAGATACAGAGTGAAGGGAAGGGAAGCATATCACGTAAATTTAAGACTGACCTGGTAAATCTAGGATCACCAAGGGAATAGCTTTGAAACCAAATCGAGGGAATGGTTTCAGTGTGAGTGGATCAAAAGAGTGAAAGGGGTGAATGGGACTGCCCAACTGAGTCCAATTATTTCAGTGTGTACAGTGTATGTCACAAATACAATGCAACAATGTATAATAGCAATAATCATAGTTAACAGATGGGAGATCTTGATATGTTTATTAGGGTTATAATGAGTATTTATTGAGGCAAGAGCTTCAGATCTATATGTTCTTCCTGGTCACTTAGTTAGCAAGTCTGCCTCGGCACATCACGTTTTCACACCATTGTTGCGTTGGGAATTGCAGTTCAATATGTTAAAATTAATGATTCCCTGTTTCTCTACAATCTAGCCAAGGGGGACTTGTTCCTTCCAATAATTAGCATCAGGGACCGTATGAAAGCTCTCTCAAGGGCAGGCTGGAGACAGGAGAACCTGTTTGCTAAATTTTGCAGGAAGTAGGGCAGAGGGGATAGCCAGCAGGGCAAGCCCTGCCCTTCCAGGCAGTCAGCATGGACTCAACACCCTGGAAGGGCTCCTTCAGCAGCATCCCTGATGGCATTTCTCTGAAGGGAAGCAAATGAGTAAATATTTATAAGATACTCAAAGACTGCTTTGGACACGCATGCACAATAGCTATTTATTTTGTGATAGTTCCTAGAACCTTTCAGTAATAACCTTGGGCCACCGTGACAGGCTACCAGGACAGAGGATACACACAGACACAGACACAGCCCTTGCCCCGGGGAGCTCACAGCCTGAATAAAACGAAGAGGGGGAAAAAAAAAAAAAAAAGAGAGAGAAAAGAAAAGGGAGGAGGAGGGTAAGGGGAGACTGTGAGGTGAAGAAAAGAGGGTATTTTGGCAAAGCCATCCTTTGGTGCCTCAGCACCTTTTTCAGTTTATTCATGTAACTGCTGCCTGCAGAGGTAGCCATGAGGGAAGGAATAAGTAGCTTTTAGCTTTTAGATTGATTCAGACAGTTTTTTCTTTTTCTCCCATCAGCTAGTACTTTTGATGTTGTGATCAAATCAAGTGAGTACCTGGGTGAGCTGCTGGACCAAGCCTCGTTTCATTTCTTTGTCACGGCACGGATCAATGAAACTGGAAAGATTCTGGCTGTGCAGAAAGCTACAGTACTAGAAATTCCCATGCTGCATATCAAGGTACTTTGGGGACATAGTTGATGGGACACAGCTCTGTTATGTGCAGACTGATCTCTAGGAGGCTGCCACATTGACTTCTTGGATAGGTATGTACGTATGTGTTAGGTCTGAAGTCTAACATGGAACTTATAAACTGTGGCCAGCTGATGTGTGAGAATGTATATGTATTTTATATATTATACTAATTATCACTGCATTAAAAGACTGAGGCTGAGGGCATCACCTGTAGTAGCGAGATAAATGATCTCTATGGAGTAGGAGGGGGAATGGTTTTAGAAAGCTGGAGAAAGTTACAGGGTAAAAGAAATAATGTTACTTAGATTTTTAACTACTTTAAAAATCTATTTCATTTAAAGCAAAGGCACTACTCTTATGGTGGTTTTGCCTGGAAAGCTTCTGCAGGTTTTGTGAAAAATGCCTCCAAACTTGGAAAAGTTACATCTGTCTGGGATGATGCTTTTGTGATGCTGCTTTGCTGCTCCTCATTGAATATGCTTTCAATAGACTTTCATTAAGGTCCAAGTGCTTCTGTGAGTGGTAGCATCATAACTGTGAAAATGTGAGTGTAGTGAATCTGATAGGACAAAGACCCTATGCTGTATGGCAAAGAGTTCTAAAATTCAGTACTAAGACTTGGACATCCAAGTAAAATGCCTCACGTTCAGAAGTGCTAAATATTTATCTGCTTTGAATCATGTCCCTTGGATCTGCTTTTTTCATAATGCTGAAAGAAAAACAAGAACACCTGTTTAGAAAGCTATATATAATCATGAATGAAGTGTCGTAAAATTCAGGATCTTGGAAGAAATCTAGACTTACAAGTCTTCCTCTCCCATATGCTTATTTGAACCAATGCTCAGGTTTCCATATCATGGCATTGGTAGTGATCTATAGAAAAAGTTTTTTTTTAAATGTAGATCATAACTACCATGAAGCTTGTAAAAAATTCACTACATTTCTTGGACTACAGAAGTGCCACTATGGTCTAATCTGATTATTGGCATTTTCAAATCAATTTTCTTGTTTACTGAGCTTTCTAGAGAGGATTGCAAGAGGAGGAGAGGAAAGCAAAATAAATAAACTCTGCTTCAAAGACCTATCTTCAATAACCAAATTTTTAAAATACAGAGTTCTTTCAATTCAATACTTCAATAAAACATCTTACACAAAATTCCCAATTTCAACTTCAAAATAGTTTATCCTTCCTGCTGTTATGAAGAAAATAATCTTAGTGCAAGAGAGAGATTGTTGTCCAATAACCATATCTTTTAGTAGGATTGAGTTTATGTATTTTCTGCTTCTTTGTGATGTGTAAGTATACCTAAAATTTTAATATTTGCATTTTTAGGCATGCGTGTGTGTTCAGGTCTCTATATATTTATTTTTATATGGGGAACTCAGCTTTATTGTTCTCTTTGAAATCTGGGAAAGCTTATTTCTCGTCTTTTCTTGTCCAACTTCTCTGAATTCAATGGAGAAACTGAAATTCTTAATCTGAAAGTGAGGTGGAAGAATGAAAATGTATTTCCTCTCATGTCTTTGGATACTCCTTTGATCCTTCTCTGTTGGTCTAAGATCTTCAGAGTTAATAATCAAGAAAATTGCGTCTTTTCTTAATATAGCCCAAGACCACATTACAAAAAACACAGATGCTCTCAGTTGCATATATAGAAATTCAGGATGTTTTTGGAGGACAACTGACTATCAGGCTTACCTACCACAAACACACATAATCCCTTTGGAGCACGAAAGACAATCAGAGTGGTGGGAAGACAGGTACAGCACTTCTGAGAGGTGCAAGCAGCACAAGTTTCTATTTTGGAGTTAAGATGCACCCCTCTTTTGGGGAGCTCCACATGCTGAACAAGCCATGCACTTCAGTGCCTGAAGATGGCGAATGAATCAGAGAGAAATATCCTCCTAAAGCTGGTCTCTCCCTCAGTTGGGCACTCTGTTCCAGGATTTTGCAGGCGGTTTTCCATTTTCTCTATGGAAATGAGGGCCTGCCTCATAATCTGTCACACAGCTTGAGAGAACTGCGTGGACAGGAAAACGGACAGAAGCAAAGTCCATGGGCATCTAACAACTTTCTTCTGACAAGGCTTTCTCTGTCCAGTGTTGTTTTCTTATATGCTCTAGTCCTTCCTCTTGCCCTCTCCTTCCTTTCAAGTACTGTGTATTTAATCTGACAGATTTCACTGTGGACCATTTTGTTATTTTCAACTGGTGGATCTTTGTCCTTTTCTTCGGTTTGCAGACTCAAGGCGAGACAGTGGCAGGTAGGGAAATGTTTGTAACTGTGGAATTCACCAATCCTCTGAATCAAACTCTGGAGAATGTCACACTCCGCCTCGAGGGACCCGGCGTGCTGAGAACAATGAAAAAGGATTTCAGGTAGGAAAGGAAGCAGAACCAACCAAGAGGTTGGTTCTTGCTCACACAGGGCAGCTCACGAAAGACGCTTAACTAATGCAGTGCTGAATAATTCGGACACTCTCTCCTGACTTTAAGATTCAACCCACATAGAAACTATAGGTCTCACCAGACAGGAGGACTCAGGCTGCCTCGCAATGCAAAGAGGGGCTATGAGAGCATTTCATCTATTCAGTATTAGTGTTGGAGAAGGGGCAGTGGTTGCAAGTAGCTGCTGACACAACTGGAGTTTTCTTTTTCATAGCATTACATTATTTTTATTGCTTGACAATAGCTCTTATGAGCTGCTATCATAGAAAGAAAATAGATTTATCCTGCATGTGAACCGGTTACTGCTATGTGCTTATTACGTGCATATGAAGTCCTTTACAGCTTTTCTAGAAGGGCTTTTCTCCACTCATGTTAATCATGACTATGCAGTACATTCAGTTACCTCAAGTGACTCTTGCAAGTTTACACCAAGACACAAGATTATTTGGATCTTAGATAACCTGTCTCTCTGAGTGTCTGATGCAGTGGATGATGTGAGATAGCCACAGTGGTGTGAAGGCCCAGAGCTCCCTCTAGCAGTGTCACTTCCCAGGGCTGCCTGGATACAGAGGAGCATGTAGGGAGCAAGTTGATCCTATGCCCAAGGCAAAGGAAAGCCCTTCATCAGTCTTCGTTGTTCTAGGAATTGCACTCAGTGCTGGCATAGGGTTATCTGTGTGATAAGCACTTACTTACTCTTTAGACTATGTTTCCATTTAGAGTTCAGGTTATATGCGGTAAGTGGGATAGGACAGTCACTGCTGTGACAAGAACTTGTAATAGAGACTCCCAAGGTTTAGTTGCTGTGGACATGTATTGATGAGACTGGTGTTATCCCAGCCCTTGCACAGAACTTGATATTAGCCGGTTAGTTCCTGGATATATAGCTGGGATCCTAGAAGATTTTGCAGCTGTTACTGAGCCTTGGGCAGCTGAGATGATGTTATCTATCATTGCTAGTGCTGATGGTTCCTAGGCATGTGCAAAGAAGTCTGAAAAATTGCCTCTGTTTCAGTAGCTGCATAAACTGTCAGCCAGTAAGGAAGGTCTGAGTGTGACTACACCTGAGCGAGGGAAAAAGAGAGAGACTCTAGAGGAGGGAGAAGAAAAGAAAACAAATAAAAATAAAAGCAGGCTCCAGATTGGAGCCAGATAGAAAAATGACTAAGAAAGGGCATCACACCACATTTGCTTTGTGCATGTGACCTATCACAGGTGCTGCTGCGCGTGACTCAGCACTATCCACACACCCCACAGAAGTATCAGGGAAAGCTCTCCGTGCTGTGCAACCCTGCTAGAATCCTCTGGTGTTCTGCAGCCTCCTTGTTCCAAAAGCTGCTGTCGACTCCTCTCTCCTTCAAGGGAGCGGGAGCTGTCAGGTGCATCAAAGGCATAGGAGTTACAGAGAAACATGACTCATGAAGCAGACGTCACTTTCCTTCAAGTCACCATGTTTCTCCCTTCACGGTAGTGCCCTTGGTGTGATTTAAAATGGAAATAGATCAGCTTAGTCATTTTAAGATTTTTGTCTTAACTTCTCTGAGATGAATGAAGGCCACAGATTATACTTACAGAGAACAGAGCAGAGGGCAGTTGTAGTTTATTTAAATAAAAATCACATTTATCTCTGTGCATTCAGAGTGATAAATGGCTCCTCTGTGGTGATGGCTCAGCATATTGTGCAGAGCCATTCATCACTAAATTTTCTCCCAGGCAAAACAGATTAAGGTGGCTTTACTCCATATGCAAAAGGAGTTAAACCTCTTCTAGGCTTTCTCCTCCTTCCATTGTTTCCCTATCCACTGGGAACTGTCATACATGGGATGTGTCTTCTACAAATGTTTTGGGGAATGAGACTTTAGAATTATGTGTATCTTTAAAGCAGCTTTTCTTCTCACATGCACAACTCCACAAAACAGGTATGAGTGAACAAGCAGCTACAATATTATTCCAATATTATTCTGGGAATTAAGTGACTTGGAAGTTTCTGTCTTCACAAGAGCTCTATAGTGATCTTTAGTCATCAGCTCGAGATAGATGAAGAGCATGACTTATGAAAAAGCCTTTGGCAGTTTCAATCTCTATCCAGAGCATAGTCTTTGCGTGGCATGTGAGAATTAAACAGGCAGTGATAGATATTGTTAAAAGGATTTTAGCCAAGCATGCACTCTCACTAGCACATAAGTCATTTTGGCTGTGCCACCAAAATCCTAGCTGCATTTCCAGCTAGGAATAGTGGTAAGACAGAAAAGAAACAGGAAAAGCTGTTATCTTTCTACATGTACATATATCCCATCTAGAAAATGAGAGGTAAATACACCGCTCTCTCTTACAGTAGGACACTATGAGGATGAAGTCCACAAATCTTCATTCCTGGAAAATCACTCCCCAGATGCTTCAGGACATACATACAATATTTTCCTCACTTTCCATACAAATCACCCCTTGCATATCATTCCCATTCTAAATGTAAAAAAGTATTTAATCTTGTGCAGCGATTGAAGTCATTGCTTTGTCATGTTACTGTTTTAATGGGCATTTGATGGTGTGGGCCAGCTGAGGGAAACAGCATATCTCTCATTAAGAACAAAGATCAAAAGAAGGCGGAACTTGCTGGAAGCAGTTTGCATACCCTTGTATTAAAAGTGTGAGTCTCCACTTGTTCTTTTCTAAAACAAGGTACATGCCTCAGGATACCTATGGCTGCATATGCAAAGCACAGTGCAGTGCCACACAGAGATACCTAAGATGGACTCTAAAGAGCTGGAATGCTGTTCCTTTTAGCAGGTTAAATTAGTCTGGCCAGACCTGCATTAAAATGATTATGCAGATGGGAGGAACCTAAACAGGATAATTTCTAGCTAATGAAAGTTTCTCTGTCCTGTGGCAAACTGTGCTAAGCCTGGGAAATTGTTTCTATCTTGACCTTAGTGGAGAACGTGACATCTGAGAGTCAAATCCTATCAGATGAGAACTGGCAACGGTAACTAAGGTTTATAGTACCTTTGCTCTCCAAATATTCAGATGTTTACGGATTACCATAACCATGGGATGCTGACGAGAACACTGGCTCACTTCCTAATTCTTTTAAAGAACTTTCATTTTTATTTATGAATGACCCCCCGCTATGCTGCCTCCTGCATTGGTTCCCTTCCTGACATCCCCCAAATGTGATCAATCAATCAATATCAGTCTTCGAAACCTGCACACAAAAGGTAATGAAAGCACTGAGAAAACACAGAAATCAAATACTTAAGGGTCTCTATGTATTTTAATTATAGCAAAATTAGAAAATCAAGAGCGGTGCAGAATAAAGGTAGTTTATACTATGTGTTATCAAGAGTTGTAATTACATAAAAAAGTAACTGCTAACAACAGTACTCCCCAAAATACTTTGGCTTATTTGCATGGGCATGAGGAAGTCAACTCTGTGGTCAGTGAGGAAATGCCCTGATATTACAACTGTGGTAGAGTAGCTTAAGGTAGAAGGGGGCAGAGGGGCTCAGTTCCTCAACAGTGCTGGCCCTGGCTGGCACTTCTGAGTAAGGACTTCCTTAACCATTTAAGAAATCACCAGCAAGCTATGGGAAAATATGCTGGTAAAAAGGAATTAAAAAGTAAAAAGATATGTTATCCATAAAGATCATCCTGAAAGTGATAGTGAGAGGAAGTGACAGGCAGCAGATTCATTTTAGAAATTTAAAATTAGCCTGGAGGAAAGTCTAGGAAAGATTTTGACAGAGTCAGTTCTGCAAGGACTGGAAGATGGAGGGAATAATTTATAGTACACTTACCAGGATGAGTGAAACATGAAAAAAAGGAAAAAAAAAAAAAAAAAAAAAAAGATGTGTTATATTGTCCATCTTCAGGTTCTCCAGTTCTGGGCCAGGCTGAGAAAACTGGTTGATTGATTTTAATATTGTTACTTTCCTTTTTTCCCTGCAGGCAAATCCCAGCAAATTCTACGTTGATCTGGGAAGTAAAATGCACCCCAAAACGGTCAGGGCTACGAAAGTTGATTGCAAGCCTGAATTGTGATGCTTTGAGGCATGTATATGGTGAGCTAAATGTCCAGATTCAGAAACTATGAACAAAGGTGCTGAATTCATCCTTTAATTAGCTGTGTTTCAAAATATCATTTTAGATGAAGAAAAAGAGATAGAGATGTAGAAATTTTATTATTTTGATTATCCTCATGCCTACTAAAATATGATAAAGAAAACTAATTGAAAATACTGGGAAGAGCTGGAAAATGCATCTGGATTGTGAATGATTCAAAATTAGATACAAGTAATTAAAGGCAATTCTAGATCCTGTTATTCCTACAGTTCATTTGTATTTATGGCCCTTTGCACTAGTGCTGAGAGAATATGAAAGGCTCTGTTCACTAAAGTAGTCTGAACTTTAGTTTTAATTAAGGTCTTATATTTTACTGAAAAGGAAAAAAAAAAGAAATCAGTGTTAAAAATTCTCAGAGTGAATTATACAGCCTTGCAGTAGATCACTCAGGCTGCAATTAAAAACAGGTATTTCTAGCTAAAGGGACTGCTTTATCTTACAATGTTAGAATTTTTCAGTTCATAGAGAGCTCAGTTTGCTGTAAGCATCTCTCAGGATTTGTTATCACCAGAATATTCCCATCGCTCTGTTCCCACTTGCCACTTCAATATGATTTCTCTCTTGCTCTTTCATGTCTGCTTGCACCCACACATACTCCTTTATTTCATGCCTTCATCCCACTGTGTATGATGCAGTTAATATGCTGTTCCTCTTTTTTGCTTTATGAAAATCTAGAGTTTTTCGTGCCCCTGCTCAGATGGTATCAAATTTGCATTTTCTGGTCACAGTCTGTTGTGGACTGGAGGTTAGTGAGATTCTTCTGCTCCCTGATTCACCATCTTAACAAATATCCTGCATTGGTGCTGTCATTTAGGTTTTAAATCTAGATTTAAGCACCTCAGAAAGTGCCCCTGGATCACAGCTACTGCAAAATCAGGTTGTGATATGTGTGAACAACTATACAGAAGATCACCTGGGTAGGGAAAAAAAAACTCTGTACGCTGAGAATCAGAAACTCCACAAGCTGGATCTGTTTCCTTATAATTCCTACAGATTCAAATTCAAATATAATTCCTACGGATTATATTTGGCTGTAAGGTGCAAAGGGCCTGCACAAGGCCTTGCTTGGTCTGGAGGTGTTCTGGATAGGCTTCTATTAGTCCTCCAAACAGGTTCCTTCACTCCCCTGAGGCATGCACCCGTTTACCTGGTGCATTTTCCATTTTTCATCTCTCCTGAAATTCTTCCCTTTTTTTTTTTTTTTTTTTTTTTTTTTTTTTTTTTTTTTTTTTACTTGAGGTAACAAAAGATGTATGTTCTTGTTACATTTACATTCCCAGCTGCAGTGGCCACCCACCAGCTGTGGTGTGTGAGAGCATATCCCAGAGTAACAAACAGTGCAAGTGATGTAACTGCACTTCCCAAAAAGCTAAAAAGAGCTTCTTGCTCATTAAATGCTGCAACTTTACTGTGCAGCATACAGCCAAGTCATTCTGTGGTTTTATTAGTGTGAGAGCAAAGGTGATGACTTGTTTTCTGCTCCCCTTTTTGCCATGCACTGCCTCCTAAATAACCTATGGCCATTTTTTTCATAAACCAAGAGAGGGGAGAAATGCAGGTTGCTCTTTCACTCAAGTATGTGGAATAGAGTAGAGATTTGCACCTCCTACCAATCTGAATGAGTAATCCTGGAGCCAAGAATATCAGGTGGTATTTCTGCAAGTCTTTTACTTCAGACATGGGCACACACTGTTTTTGTACAGCTTATGTGACCCATTAGAAATGGTAATAACAAAGTCACACAAAGAAGTCCTCTGGGAACAGGTCACTGAATAGTCTGTGCTACACAATGAAAATCTCTGTTAAGTGCTTATGCAGTTCTACTGAAGCCTGTATCATCTAATAAGATTATCCATATTTTGCTTTTGAATATAAACCTGCTTTCCATTCTGGATTTTTAGTAGCTACAGTGTAATAGGAATTTAAAATAAAGCTTGTCTGATTGCACTTATAGCTTGTGGTCTGTGTTTGATCAATCACTTCATGGTAGCACTCTAGACAGTAGTTGCTGCATCTCTTATTGGTAGAGTGCATTAAAAAGTATGCTTCTGAGCTGGCTGATAAAGGTGACTTTTGGTGATGGAGAGAAAACACAATCTCTATTAAAAATAATAATAATTCTGTTTTCAGTTCAATTATTTTAGCTTTCGTTTTTCTTTCTGTTTTAACAATTTACTACCTGATACATTGCAGAAAGTGGCAATATCCAGAGCACATAACAGTGCCAGAGGAGAAAATCCACAGATTCCCCTGGGAATTACTAACATATTGGAGCCTATTAAGCGACCAATATGCTCCTCATGAGACCTTACTTGCATCCTACTTCAAAAGTGTACTCCTCTCAACTCAGTATTTCAAAGTATTTAACAAACAGTTGTTAAACTGAACAGTGCTCCCTAGGAGATAGAAAGTATTTTTGTACATAGTTTACAGAGGGGTAGGTTGAAGCAAAGGCAAGTTCAATTATGACTGTGAAGGATGCCTGGAAATACATGCCAGGGATGTCAAGAGTCCTCAACATCATCTTCAAGCTTGCTCCACACAGAAAGCTGCTTGCAGGAACCTAAGGACAAAAGGATAGTCTCCAGGATTTCAACCATTCATTGGTGGTTGAATGTGCATGGTCTACTGGGTGAAACAGGAGTAAACTCTGACTGAGGATGCTATAGTTATTCTGATAGGACCATAGAAAGCTATTATTCAATAAAGCCAGACTGGGAAACCCAAATCTGAAGGATTTTTCAACCTGAAGAGACCCATCTTGAAGTTTACATTCTTCAGATGAGGATTTCTTTTGAGTGGGATGAATTTATGCCCTTATCCCAAACATCGTCTGCGGAGGCCAGCCCCAAGGACAGCAACACAGAATGCGCTGGAAGAGAAGCAGCAGCAGCTAATCAGTGAGAATGAGAAACTGCTGGACATAAAAGAGTAAAAAAACAGATAAGGAAACTACGTATATGCTGCAAATGGCACCCAAATGGGACACAGAGAGACCGGGAGGCTCAGAAAGCCTAGACTCAGCAGCATAGCCCAGCTGACCCAGGATTGGAGTAAGCAGAAACTCCGGTGTACTCATCACCTAAGACAGGGGAGCAGCTTGGGAACCATGGGAGGCAGAATGTCTCAAGAGCAGCCCTCAGACATGCTGCAAGCAAACCAAAGACTCCAGGAAAAACAGATTAATTGTAGATACTGAATAACAAAGGGAGAGATCTAGAGGCCAGCCCCAAGGACAGCAGCACAGAATGCACTGGAAGAGAAGCAGCAGCAGCTAATCAGTGAGAATGAGAAACTGATGGATATAAAAGAGTATAAAGCAGAAAAGGAAACTATGCATATGATCCAATTGTCCCTCAGATGCATCCTGGGGTGGGGATGGGGGAGAAAAAAGTCCCAAATCAAATTCCCTCCTTCACAGACCAACACTCCTGCAGCTCAGAGAGGTCAAGTAGAAACAGAAGTTTGCATGTTCCTGAACACACATGTGTCGTGTGTTACCAGCTTGTTATATCCAAGTTACAGAGTAGGTTGCTTGAATTCCTGCCAATTTGTCACACTCAAAATCTTGTTACTGGCAAGGAAACACAAGAAATTATTGTTAGCCTAATTAAAATCTTAATAGAGTAATGAAAGAGTTATTCCTAGTGCAGATATTGTTATATTCTTTGTTATATTCTTTATAATTATATTCTTGTTTAGTTGTTACAATGGTAGTAATACCTATAGTCCAAATTATGTACAAGCAAAATAGATGTACACAAACTTTTTAGTATCTTTCCCTTTCTTTGCCCTTCTATTTACCCTTGTATTGTCCCTCTGGATCTTAAGGCTGAGAGCTTCAATCTTGAGTTAGAGGCAGAGGTAAACAGTAAGTCATCACTGTCCCAGATCCTTCACCAAGAGCAGTATGTTAATGGGGGACGTGTTAATCTTCCTCTTTACTGGGATGAGCACAACAATGCAAATTTCTTCCTTCACATCCTAGGATCCATTTGAGGATGCAAAGCAAAAATTAGAACAAAGTATGCAATAGACCCCTGCTCATTAGATAACTTGTTACTACTAAACAAAACTCCAGGCAAGCCAAGGCCTCACAAGTTCTGAACCTTTTATTGCTAGCTAATCATCAAACCTGTGGCCTGTCACAAATGACACCTACTTAGAAGACTTTGAGTGCTTTGTGGAACAGAATCAGAAAATTGAGTTTTGTCTTTTCTAATGACTGGTTCGGCCAGTGATAATTGGTTCAAAGTGAAACTAATAATATATGTTCTACCAAGCAATCTGCCCTCTCCTCCGGTAGGGGACTTAATATATCACCCTTTCTTGTGTATAGTGTCTTCATCTTCGCCCTTGCCCCTCAAAGAAGGAAACTGCCAGGTACCAGCCTCTGTATTCTGGTGATGGTGCAATAGAGAGATGACCAGATCAGATAGGATGGAAATAATGTCTGAGTTTGTTCAACCCAAAATAGCCCCACTCTAAAAAGAGCAAAGTATACAGTGAGTATTGATAGCAGAGAGACTGCTCGGATCTTGGAGCTGGCCTGATAGATTAAACCAAGCAGGGACATGAAATGTACATTGGAGAAACATTGGAAAAGCACCTGTAAGGATAGACACTGTCAAAAAGAAGCTAGGAATTTGTGGCACACAGGAAACGGGCTTTTACTAAATGCATAAAGGCAGAGTTTAAAAGATTGAATTCAATATTGAAGAAGGAAAATTATTGTTGCATGCTAACAAGGGAAAATATGACAAAATGAGACAAAAGAAAGATTTTCATGGTAAAAACAGAGAAAGTCTTAAGAGGGAAACCCTAGAAGGTTGTGTTCCCCAAGGCAGGCAATCTACAGGACACTAGCAGTCAGAGATCTTCTACGAGGTCACTGGGGCTGGCTAGCAGCACCTGGATGGCATCACCTCCACACAGGTAGAGTTGGAAGCCCAGATTGAGTATGCTATGCTCACTCCCCAAAGGTGGCAGATTTTAGGGGACGGTCAGATCTTATGGGAGGATCAGCAGGTGGCTGGAAGCCTGGGGAAGGCAAGGCAGTGAAGAGGATGCACATATACTGTGAGGAGGTCCAGGAAAGGCTGGGCAGTTCCTTTAAGACACCTGCAGCCTGCCCAGAAGTGGCTGTGTTCACCTGCCCTCCACAGTGCTAGGATGGAAATAAGAGAAACCCTTGAGCGTGAGAAGTCTAGAGAAAACTACAGCAGCAATGAGAGGCATTGCATATGCAGGCTTTTTTCTTGTGCTCTG